CCAGCAGCCCCACCTTTAACGGAGGCAGAGGAGCTGCCCCCCACCCCCCCGTTCGATGATCGCGGCCGGTCCGATCGCAAATCCCCCCCCACCACAGACACACACACAGACACACGCACACCAGTCCGACGATCGCTGCTACGGGGTGGGGGTTGCGATCGTCGAAGGGGAGGGGGGGGGGGGGGGCTGCTGCTGGACCACCACCCGTTTTTCTGGCATCTGCCCTCTTTCTGTTTGCTGAGTGAAAGTCTAATATTGAGTGTAGTGTGTGTTAGTTTAATATATGTACATATACATACTGAGAGTTAGTTTAATATTCCTAATCATTTAACGGAACATCATAAGAGAGTAAAATTCATTTTTGAGTGTGAAAAGAGCATTTTCTAAGGGATCAAACTGCCACTTAATACTTACTTGACAATGTAAAACATGATCAAAATGATTCAAGCAGTTTCCCTGCAACAGTCTGTCATTGTGATTGCACGAGACTAGATTTAAAGTTACGCATTGACGCGAGTGGCGATTTCCTCCCATGCCCTCTCCCTCTCCTTTGCAGCTGCTGCTGTGTTGCACTTTCTTTAAACGTGCTGTAATTCGCTGTTGGCTTGCTGCTGCCCCCTCCTTCTCCCTGTTTCCATTGGTTGATCAATGAATCTGCGCTCCACAGATGCTGGCTGTTTATGTCTGGCGTGCACGTGCTTAACTCCAGGTCAAACTACTCGGAGTTGTTAAAACCGTCTCAAATCAGGAGTTGTGAAACCGGAAACTCAGAGTTTCCTAACTCAGAGTAGATCAACTCAGAGTTAAGGATTTAACTCAGAGTTTGTTGAACCACCTACGTGAAACGGACCCATTATCTACCTCCATTATCTCTCAGAAATACCTCAAATAACCAGCTATGCTTTCTCTTCCTGGTAAATATCCCCCTCTTGTGGCACATGGACTCAGTTACATGCCTTGATTATATTTTCTGAGGAAAATCTCAAAGTTTTTTTTTGTCTTTGTTTATTTTCCACATGAGAAAAATTTCTGATCAGTCAGACGTTTGAGCTTTAAAATAAACTAGGATGAGACCATAGACTGTAAGCACTGTTACATGGTACCACTGGTATTTTGTGAGTTATGCCAGTGTCATTGTTCAGTCTGGTGCTTTTTCACTGGATAAGCAAACTCTTGTTATTCACTTGAATTTACTGCTATGTTGAGGTGCTGTACATGAATATTGTGTGGGGGCAGCATTATACTTAGCAGCGAAGATGTCTGCATTAAGTAAACCTCCATAAGAATGTGAATTAAATTAAATTAAACAAAGAGTATTTTACAACTGATATTATAATAACACTGTATTCCTCTGGATAGGTTCATAGTGTAACGCTGCTGAAATAATGAAGTGAAGTGATGTTAAAGATTATAAATAGGTGCTGTATGTGATCATTCTTTTCACAGTCTATTACTGTCTGAGTCAGTGGTTGTTGTTGTTTTTAAATGTTATTGATATATCTGTTCATAAAATAGTTCATTTAATAGTTCAAATCCAAAGTAAAGTTGTTGTCTGTTAGATTGACAAAGAGGTACACTACAGTGACAAATTCAGCTTGGGTCATTACTGGACTCTACAACCAGAGGAGTCTTATCCACAGACTGCACACCAACCTCAAAGGTGCTGCTGCCACCTACTGTATCAGAGTGTGTAAGACAAAAAAAGTCATGTTTGTTTACTCTCTATTAAACAGAAACTGACAAGACATCTAAGGGAAAATAATACAGCAACCCGGATTATATGGACTTCAGTAGTGGAATGATAGAATGATAGAAGAGTCAATACAAAATTTAGTGAATAGATAAGAAAATACAGCCAGCTGTGGATATCAGACCAAAACAAGTTCATATTTGGGCATTGGATAGAAAATGGACACACCCACTTCAGATTGAAACTTTGTGGTAAAACTGTCTTAAAGGGTAAACTGCAGATCCAAAGTCCCACCTTCATTGAGGATTTATTCTATTCTACATAGAGAATGAGACGAAAAAGTGAGAGAATCAGATCAGAATCAGATATACTTTAATAATCCCCAGGGGAAAATTGCTTTTTGTCACAGTAACTCCAGAGCAAAAAAAGTATAAAAGAGGAGATAAATAATAGATAAAATAAGTTAAAAAAAGAGATAAATAGATAAAATAAGTAAATTAAGTAAAAATAAAGAGATAATATACAAGTATGTACACTATATACAACACAAAATAGTAAAATAGTATGCATGTAAACAGCCTCCATTACAATTAGACAGGTTTAAATCCGCTTATTCTGAAAAGACTCAAATTAACTTGTGTGTACATGACGTTTTTAAACCCTTAGTGACTATTGATGCTACAGTAAACACAACTTTTTGTGTCATTTCGCCGGGATTCTTGCCAACATCTTTGATGAATTTTAAGTCTTACTTCTAATATTCCAAAATCAATCCCTACTACGTTCTTATTTCTCTTCATTGATTCTCATTTTTCTGTAGTGTCATTTCCCTTCACTCTACTTCACTGTATGATGGTATCCAACAGAGGGAACATCTTGTGTAAGTTGTAAATTAAATGGACTCATTTTAACTGCAACAGCAGCCCTCAAAATTTGAGCTGCTGCCCTCTAGCGGGATCTTTGGGGAACTGCAGGTTGGTTCTTTAAATTAATCAATTGAGTAAAAAACTAAAGGCCTACTCTTAGATTCATACAGGGCTGTAGTAGTCTTCTGTTTGGGAGAATCAGTTAAACAGCCTAACATGTTAAAAACATGAAAATGACAACATGTAAGTTAAGAGTTTTGACCTGGAGATGCCTCTATAAAAAGAAATACCCCTTTGTAAACTGCCTCAGGCCTATTCATGATCATAGATGTTATACAGTATCATTACAAAGAAACTAAAAATGTGGTTAAAGAAGCATTATACAGGCAAACAGCAACTCAATACATCTCTTTTTAAACATGTTGCTGGAAATTATTTTAAAATGAGTCAGTAAAATGTTCAAATTGAATGTCTTTTAAGTTGCTTGTGCTTTATTCTTAATAAAGGCTCTGAGTCATCAAATTCTGTTTTAATTAACATTTTACACAGTATCCCAACTCCTATGGAATAGCCGTTGTATGATTCTCGCAGTCCTATACCTCAGCATGTCGACACTTAGCCAAGAAAAGGATGTGATTTCTTCTCCCATCACTACTGGTCCTTCAGTGTCCTATTTAAACAACGTCCCTGAGCTGTGTCTGGTGTAGGTTGCCGTTTTGGAAACAGCTAGCTGTGAATAATCTGTAACATTGGTTGCTAAAAAAATCTAAAAACTTGAAATGCATCATGCGGCTGCTCTGTATGGCTCAGCACCTATAGGTTGAATAAATATTCATGAGGCTCATGAATTGCAAGAGGCACACAGGCATGCTGAGCTTGATTAATTCTCCATGGCTGTTTTTTTTTTTTTTTCACAGTGCAGAAAAAGGGAAGGCTGCCCTCTGGTGGTCACGTACCCACCATTTCATCCTTTCCCACTCACGCTGTGCAGCCCAGCTTTGTTCAAATCCTTAGAGATTCATTTCAAACTCTTGTGTGTGGTTTGCAAAATAAAATCTTGTGCAGTGCTCATTTATTTGTGAGGGTAACGCAGCCAAATAAAATGGTGTCTTGGGTTTCAATGTATCAGTCAAACATCATCCAGCTTCAATAAAGGCCTGAGCTTGACTGATACAATAAAACACAACTGTGCACAGCAATCATTACTTATAACAGACTAATATTATATGTAAAAGTTTAATAGCTGTGTATTTCTCAGTTAGGATCAGCCTCATTACCTTTGATGCATGTGTGCTGTTTCTACACTGCAGCCTGTTTGACACTAATGGAGTAAAGCGGGGACTTAATGTGTAGTATCAAGGGCCGCTGTGTGAAACAGACTGACTCAGAGGCTGCACTGACGTCCTTATTGACAGTTACTCACATATCTGCTTATCATGAGCGCGCAGCTTATTTATCACACTAATCAAGAAACAAGGACGAGCAGCGGGGCAGGCACTCCTCTTGATAACCAGCAGTGTGCGTTTCCATTTGGCAGCCAAATGCTCCACTGAGGCTTTAAAGATTACATCCCACCCCTTCACAGCCAGTCTCAGTCTTGCGTAGAAAATTCTTGCAGTTGCATTGAACTTTTTTCTGTAAACCACCATACAATATTTTACAGTTTCCTTTTTAACTATTATTTTTAATTTGACTGAGTCCAACTGAGAAAGGCCATCCTAAACTTCTGACTCTGCTGCCACCGTGTGGATGTACAGCCTGAGCTTTCCTTCCAACCCTAACTGGAAAAGAAATGATCAGGAGTCACCTGCCTCAATGATTGATCACTGCATCTGATTATTTGTGGCCAGACAAGAACTAAAGTTATCTAAGGGTATTTTTCCAGTGATGTATGACATAAGACAAGACAAAAATGTCTCTCTTGCAAATATGGATAATCTTTTTTTTGTAGGAATGACAAAATGTAAAGCTGATGAATGCACCCTCCTTCTTTTGTGGTTTACGGTTTTGCAGGGATTAATAACCAGAATCAGAATGTCCTTTATTTTCATCATACTAAAGGTATGAGATTGGAGAGCTGCTTTTCCAGTGCAATAGATAAATAAAAAAAGGTAGTAAAAGTACAAATATTTGTAAGAAATAAGGCACTATATATACATGACAAGAATTCTACAGCACAGTAAAATAAAATGTATGTATAAGAATACAATAGAAATATTAGAAAGATCAAAAGTAATTATATATATGTGTGTGTTTGAATATATGCACATTTTTCTAATACGTTTATGGACATGTATTGCACAGGTTGAGGATATAATCATCCACACAGCAGCAGTAACGTTGGTAATATTGCACTTGTTCCCTCATCTTGAGGGCTGGAGCAGGTTTATACTAGTTTATGCACATATATACAACATGCAAAAACCACTACCATAAAGCACAGGTTTAGAATTAAAGCAGACTTTATTGCATCTGTCAGAGCACAAGATGGCATCATAAAATAAGTCTCTACAATTCTGCAACATCAGTCAAACTACTACAGGGTGTTTTTCTGTCCTGAATTTATTGACTCCACTGATCTAGCACATTCTTTCATTTTATTTCTATAAAGATTAGGATCATGTTCGATTTGCATTTTGTTTTATAACAGATAAATCCTACACACCGTTATTTAAAGCTACACCCTCACCAGCCAAACAAAATGCCTCCAATCACGTGTTGGTTTTATTGTGACCACTACACCCTCACGCGCACATGTGGCACCCTCTCCTCGTGGCGTTTACATTTTTGTAAAACATTAAAGTATTACATTAGCCATGTAAACTTAAGTTCACAAACAACCAAACTTCGACAACAAAACCCCACCCAGTTTTATAAGGGAGGCTCCATTGGTCTGCGTGTCTGTAAATCCGTTCCCTCTTTATTCGCCTGCTGCCATTGGCCGGCGGTGACGACAATCCTGCAACGTGGTCCCGCCCACCGAGCGGATCAAGTTTGAATGAACAACAGCAGTCTGTTCTGAAGGTGCTAGTTGCATTTGCAGTAATTATTAAAAGTGTGTATCATATCCCGGCTGCGTCGATCCAGGATGGACATGAAGAAAAGAATTCATCTAGAGTTGCGGAACCGCACTCCGTCAGACGTAAGTGTGCCTCACGTCTCTCTGGTGATGCTTTCACACACTCAGCTAATGGAGAATCTTTCGTGTGATGTCTTGGCGTGGGGATACAAAGTTTCTTCCAAGTTAAAAGACGATGGAGAGGTCGGGTCACATTGTTGCGGACGTGTTTACAGTGTTTGCGGGGTGCTGGATGTGTGCTGAGGGAACTTTTGTGCCTCACGTTTTTTGGAGAATGCAGCACAGCGGTATAAACAAGGCAAGCAGTACGAGAAGAAGCCATATTTGTAACTTTTCATCTACGAATACAACCCTTTCTCCTTTTTCGATTGTTATTTACTCTCTCGGATTAACTATATGCATGCTTTGACGGAGAAATGCATTTACCAGAAACATTGCAGCCGTGCACTTGGCGCGTTCAGGATGCGGAGACTCAAAGTCATGACATTATCAATGATGCATAAAGATCACAGCCTCTTATTGTCGTCTTTGCAGATGCACCGTGCATCGAGAGTATAACTCAAGACCGTCCACATGAAGTTGCTTGTGTCTGCAGAGTGCATTCAAGAGGTTGAGCCTGCAGCCCTCAGTGCAGCCAACAAACCGAGCCCTCAGTGCGCACAGATGGCCGAAAGAAAGACGCGTTAGCAGGAACCGATACGACCCACCAGGCAGGGCGCAAACACGGAGACGAGATATACCGAACAAACCCGCGTCCACGACACCATAAAAGCTTTTATTCGGCTGTTTTATCGAGGCTTCCATCCATTTAGATCGATTATTCAGTCGTAATGAAAACAAAGTACGGAGCCGCGTTGTTGCTCCAGTTTTCCAGAACTAGGACAAGCCGCCATTTTACCGAGAAACAAAGGCAATCCGAAATACACCGAATTATCCCGTTTATTCGACACAAATGACGAACGATTCAGCATACCTTCACTTTAACAGAAGTCTACACACGCCATCAATCCGATCGGCAACAGTTTAGCACAAGCAACAATGAATCGTTTGCCTGGCAGCTATCTAATCTTCCTCAGCTGCCCCTCCTACTCACAAATGACCCTGTGCACGACTCGTAGGTCTGTTTGGCTCCGGCTTGTTTTCTCTAATGTGCATCTGCGCCGCTCGGAGCCATTCAAACTCTTATTGAAGCTCTAAACTCGGCAAAAACGGAGGAATTTTAACATCTGCACAACCGCCGAGCTTTGTCCCTTTTCACCAGGAGAATCCAAATGTGATATTACGTAACAAAAGGACAGTCAATTCATCGCGATACCTTCAACGATGTTATGCCTCAACGGGGAAATAATGTAGTTTTTCTCAATAGTCCCAGTCCTTGCTGTTGATTGGTTGAGTAACGTTTCTGGCCGCGGTCTGATATTTTATACTAACACACCTGTAACCGCATATCAGACTAATTAGATATCAATGCACCATCCAGATATTGACTGGAGCACTAGTAGCAAATTAAATAAAGCAGAGGTTCTGTGTTATGGCCAATATAATTCATTAAAGGTTGCCTAGATATCCATGAATTAAATTTCATAGTATGTAACTGCTACAAGATAGACTACTTCAAATATTCCAAATAAAGGAAACCTGATGCAAAATTTTCTTCTTACAAATTACACTGCAGTTAGTTTTATCATTAATCCTGCATTTCATAAAAGCAGTTTTCATCGTTGTCGCTGATTAAAGATGGTTTGATTTAATGAATTACTTAATTTTTACACAATTTGGCTAAGTATTGTTAGTAAGATGGAGAAATTTCTTGTTTTGAGTTATCATATTTACCTCTGAAAAAGTACAAATTTAAAAAAGCTGGTTCAATTCTATCAAAGACTTCAAAAGTGTCCATTGAAATTATCAGTATAGATTCATTGTGAGATTGGGCAGCATTTATAATATGGAATAGTTTACGTACATTATCAGAGCCTTGTCTGTCTCTAATGAACCCTGATTGGTCAGTATGAATAATTTTTGGGCTAACTTTCTCAAGTCTGTTTGCAATCACTTTGGCTAATATTTTATAATCAATATTTACTAGACTTTAGAGTCTGTACGAATCACATTTTTGTTGATTTTTACCTAGTTTTGGTAGTAGTATTATGGTTGCCATTTCAGGGCCTGGAGTTTTATTGTTCTGCAACGAGTTTACTGCTTCACAGATTTCTGCTACCACTATATCAGCATCCAGTGTGCATTTGTCCTTATTCAGTTGAAGTACAAACTTGATTAGTTTTTGTTCAGTTCTTCAGTAAATTAACTTCGTCACATCGCATCAAATACGTGTTATATACAACATCAGCCTTTGACTCATGATTTAAACATTATTGTTCACTTTTTAAAAAACTTTTATTTGAATCCGTATTTTATATTTACTGACTAGATGTATTTGGTCTCTCTGCAGGTCAAAGAACTTGTGCTAGACAACTGTCGCTCAAACGAGGGAAAGATCGAGGGTCTAACAGATGAATTTGAGGAGCTGGAATTTCTTAGTACAATCAATGTTGGACTGACGACAGTTGCCCACTTGCCGAAGCTAAATAAACTCAAAAAGGTGGGTATACTTTCTACTTTAACGAAGCTCTTGGACCTAAAGGCTCTACCTTTTTTGTTTTTCCAAATTTTGACTGGTTGCTTGGTCAACAGCTCGAACTCAGCGATAACAGGATCTCAGGAGGGTTGGAAGTTCTTGCAGCCAAATGCCCCAACCTCACACATCTCAACCTCAGCGGAAACAAAATTAAAGACCTCAGCACAATAGAACCATTGGTAAGTGTGAGCTCAGAAATTAAGGCACAATACTAAAACAAGTTTGCTGTGTTACTCATTATAATTATTATTCTTTGACAGAAAGAATTGTCCACCCTGAAAAGTTTAGATCTGTTCAACTGTGAAGTGACAAACCTGAACGAATACAGAGACAACGTGTTCAAGCTACTACCACAGCTCACGTACCTGGACGGGTATGACAAAGACGACAAAGAAGCACCAGATTCTGACGCTGAGGTGTATGCAGAGGGCCTGGATGACGATGAGGAGGATGAAGATGGTAAGTTTGAGGACACAGCAACCCAGTGTTTCACATACACTTCTGGCTTTGCTAACTTAAATCTTTATTTTTTGCCCTGGCAGCCACTTTTTGCTGCACAAATCCACAATAATTCAGCTTTTTTATTATTAAGTGCCTTAAGTGCAGAAAAGCTCTTGGTGCGTCAATTGATAATGCAGGTCTGCACAAGGAAGAGATCGGCCTTACTTTGTTAATTAGTTCCAATTTCCAGGTCTAGAGCAGCTGCTAATGCAAAAACATAATTTCTGAATATTTTATTTATTTATTTATTTTAATTTCTTGGTAGCACAAACAGCATTTAAAAACAGACGTGATTGTAACCACTTTGGGAAGCAAAAGTTTCATAGAACAACTTTAGTTTTACCAAGCAGCAAAAAGTGCTCTTGACTCTTTGGGGTCTTGGATGTTGCCAGCCTTAACAGTGCTGTAAGTGGACACAGGTCCTAACAAGTGGACACAGGCCCTTATGAATAGCTGTGCCCTAGTGAACATCTATTAAACTAACTTCTTGTGGGACTTTAAAAAAGTGAGTGATAATTACAAACTGGTGTACCCAGATGTAGATGAGGAGGAGTATGATGAAGACACAGCACCAGGAGATGAAGAGGAGGAAGAAGGAGAGGAGGATGAAGAGGAGAATGAAGAAGAGGAAGAAGACGACCTCAGTGGAGAGGTGGGACTAAAAAGATAAATGAGTAACTAGAAAATGTTAAATTTTAATTCCTTCTATTAACAAAATTTCCTTTATTTTTAAAAAAGGAGGAAGAGGATGAAGATTTGAATGACAGAGAGGTCGACGATGAGGATGATGAAGGTGAGTAAAATGGTGGCAGACTTCAACATAGAAGCTTCTTCCTTCAATACATACCAACGTAGAGCATGAAATAGACATTTGTGTGCTCAGCATGTTGTCGACTCAGTGATTAAGTGTCATCGCCCCCTCTAATCAAATTATAAGTATTTTTATTGTATGCTTGTAATGGCTGTCATTTTTTTGTTGAAGCATCTCATGACGCAGTGAAGTTTTACACTATTTGTTTGGGTAAAGTAAAGAGATAAAGTTGGTTAAACTGACATATAATCATCTGAGCAGAGCAGGACTCGAGGCTGGTGGTGCTAGCTCTGCTATTGTTAGACACACCCAGAAAAGCAACTGTAGAGTCTGTGACCCTGTGTTTACTTTTATCCATGAGTCAATCTCACTTTTAGTTGAACTGGCTAGCCAAAATGTGAGTTTTTTTTTTACATGACAAGGATACTAACTGCTTCTGAATATTCCTAGATGAGTCCCTAAAAGATTTCAAGAGTCAGCAAAGTGTCGTTCCAAATATTCCGTTGTGAAGTTATGTCACCACCATCTGTTTGATGCAGCCACAAGCTCCTCTATTTCCCTAGTGTTTACCGCAGAGGGAAAATACAGCTCTCGATTTTGACATTTCTCAGCACTTTACATTGCACCTTTTCGTCGTGTGAAAAATGTATACTCTTCCCCAGAATTGCAAATGCAAAAACTTAAGAGAAGTGGAAACATGATCATGTTTGGTTGTTTTGTTTTTGTCTAACTGTGTTTTTTTTTATTTGCTAGAAGAAGAGCGAGGTCAGAAAAGAAAAAGGGACCTTGATGAAGAAGGTGAAGATGATGAGGACGATTGAGAGACCTCTTCAAGCTAAGTTGTGAACTGTTTTAAAACTTATATCTCCCGGTCACTTCCCAACAACCCCATGTATCCCCCCCCCCCCAGTTTCATATTGCAGTAGGAGTGTTTTTTTGTTATTGGCCAGTCAGGTAGATGGGGTTGTCTGGAGAAATAAGTTAAACTTCTATATCTTTGATGCTCCTGTATTCCAGTCTTTACGGTCCACTTTTAACTGCTCTGTGGACACCGATTTTGTAATCTCAAATTATAGCAAAGATAAACCTTTTTAAGACGTTTTTTTGTTTTCTCACCGTTTGTGTACGGCCAGTTTCTGATGAATTGTGTATTTTAAGACCCCCCCTTCAAAAGAAAAAACAAAATGCTACAAAAAAAGAGTGCATGTCAATACATTTTAAAGTCAACTACTGGATTTCATGTATGGCTGTTCTCTCCTCGTCTTAATCTTATTTTATTGCATTGTATTTTTTTAATGTAAGTTATGTATTTGTAGTGTCACCAGTATGCCAATACTCTCTGCTGTCCTGGTGTGTAACTCGTGTCTGAACATGCACAGTGTGACCCTCACAGGGCATATTTTTAAATCATAGCAAAAAAATGTCTGCCCTTGTCAAAGCTCCTCCTCCTCCTTCTCCTCCTCCTCAAACCCTCAGCTTTGATAGTTCGGAAATTACGTGTTCTTGTAAATAATGACCAAATCTATTTTTTTGTATTCTCTTTGATGACGGCAGACATTAAACAGACAACCGAGGTGAAACTATGAATTGTAATAAGATATTAAATATGTATGCTGCTTTATCTAAAAATACGCAGTGTGAAATTTCTGGAATTTGAACACAACTTTGTATGCATAATCTTTCCATAAAGAGAAATGTTCAATGTCAGAACTCATCATTGCTTTCTTTTTCCATGTTCATTTCTGTGACACACAGGGGGCATTGTTTGAATTTGTGATGGTAGAGTAGAGAAGTACTTGATATAAATGGAGGTACAACAGAAACTTATGTGCATTGAAAATTTATTGTTTCAAAGTGTAAACTCTGGTAAAAGTCAGTTATTTGGACTTTGTTTTCACTATTATACCTAATGGTCAAATTGGCCTACCTCAGTGATTTTTCACTCTATGTTACATCCACTGTCATCTGCCAAACTTGTTTCTTTTTTTCCTCCCATTCACTTCAATAAATCCCTTTTATATATGTTTTGAAGTTTGTGGTTCTTGTATAACAGAGTCACATGGTAAAATGCACACGAATCCAGTCGTCATCCATTTCCTCGACATGGACGTGTGTTCCAGGACGCACTTTTCAGCAGACAAAGATTTCATACTGCCAACTCCAAGCTGCGCAGTATGAACAGTATTACAGGAGACAAAACTAAAGAGTCTAACACTGAGATTTAGTTCTATCCCAACCAGGTAAACAGGTCTACAAAGAAAGATCCAGTCATGTTAATGGCATGAAAACCTTACAGTCCTTATTTACTACCTTCCCTCAAATTAACAGCTATGTTGTTAACTCAAGAAAACACCTGACATAGCACAACTCCAGCTGCAACTTCACCTGTCTCTCCTCTGTCGATGACCCATTACTGCTGGATCCTTCTCCCTACTTTCACTGTAGCCTTCTATATTCACTGCAAAAAAACATACAAATCAACCATGTATGTCAGTAATTCAAGTTTAAATTTTAAAGGTTCAATTATCTTGATTTTCAGATTGTATTTTAAGACTTAATGCCCTCACTATGATGTAAAAAGGAAGACAAGCACCCTTCAATTACCTTTTACTCTCTCTCATTGTAAAACCCTTTCTCTCTATGCCTGCAGTTGGTTCATCTTCGCTCATTTTCTTTCTCAGAATCAATGTGACTCTTCTGACTGTGATTGGCCCTGGATTAAGAAATAAAGCGATTGTTAAGCAGAGCCTGTCTTTTCTTGAACCTGACTGGCATGATTGAGTTGATTAATTGCGAAGCTGGTCCACGCTCCTCTTAAATGTCAGACTGGTGGAAAAACCTGTAGGAACAGAGGAGAGCAAAGGCATTTAAACTGCTATTTAGCCTCCGTCTAGTAATGATATAAGTGGAGAAGGAGAGGCAGATGACCAGGAGTCTCTAGAGGAAATTACACATCTACATGTTAACACATCTTAGCAACAGTGATATACTTAGTTTAAATGCAAATGGATGGTTATTATGACAGTCTTTTGTAGAGTTAGGAATAGGCAAGAGAGTATTTTTATACCTCATCAGGAGGTACGTTGAGGGGGTCAAAGACCAAACACCGTTTAAGGTACAGTTTCACACAAATCCTGCACCAGTTCAATCGGTAACATTCAGCAAAATCTATCAAGCGTCACAATCATTACTTGCGTTGCCACATCTTACAAAAAACAATAGGATTAACAAATATACATGTTATTGGCTAGAAAGGTAAAATATGACAAATAAATAGAAGCAAATATACATTACCCCCATCCTCAAAATTAGCCCTAAAAACCAAAAGCCAGCAGAGCGTCCCTTGAGACTAAAATCGAGTAGTTATGCAAGTCCACCGCCTCTGGATCCGTGTCTCCTCTGCTGCTTTCCCACCGTTTAAATAAAGAACAGAAATACTTTGAGCGAGTGAACCATCCACTCCTCTTTGTAAGACAGACTGTATCTGAGCATCAGCTCTGTAAATTCATAGGCAGCAACACTTGTGGGTAAAAGAAGCAATAAGGGATGAGCAGCTCAGTGGAAAAACAGGATCCATGTCTGCAAAAGCTCGTCTCATCTTGCAAAACCACTTCACATCAGCCATTTTGAGAGGATGCTGCAGCTCGCTGCAATCTGTGTCTGCAGCAGGGTCTAAGGCCTTGGGGAAGAAAAGTAGGTGCCAGATACAGTCTTTTATCCTCCAGTTTTGCCCCAGCAAATAATGAGAACTAGATGATGTTTCGGTCATTACAGGGGGGATGTGTGCAGAGGCTCGTTTGCCTGTGTATTGTAACATGAATCATAGGGTAGGCATGGTGAGACAAACACACAGGAGGTCTGGCAGAAAATATGCAGCAACTGATCGAAACACTGAAGACTGTGTTTGATCGAGGTTATTACACTTAAAAAACAGAAAAAGAAAACCTCACGATATTAAACCCCTACAACTGATTTCATCTTAAGGCGGCAACCCATGAACGCTGCCTTACTTAAAATTATGTATCTTATTAATTAAAACAATGTTAGTTCTGTAATTGCATCAGTCAAGACATTATCCAACATTTATCATATTATGGTGTGGGACTATGCAGGGCAGCAAGAATGAACTCATGACATATCAAAAGAGATGGATGGGGGGCTCAGAGGCCTGTCAGAGGTCAGAATTGGGGGGCAAAAAGGAAGCAGCTTTGCCAGTCCAGGAGGTTGAGAGGTCACACGTTGTTGGGGCTAACGTTCTTCAGGTTGTTCAGCTCCAGCTCCAGCTGGCGTATTCGCACATCCTTGGTGGTCAGCTCCTCCTTCAGCCGCCGCAACTCATCCTGCTGCCGGAAGAACATCCTCAGGAGCTGTGTGAACAGATGAAATCAGGAAAGTGAAAATCTACACAGAGGAAATGATGATGAGACTCTGATACAAAAGTGTTAGAAAAATAACACCCGTGCAGGTCTGAATATTAATGCTACAGTCTGTCAGGGCAGGAAGTATCAGCAGGACTGAGTGTTTTAATTACACGGCACTGCAGGGTAACTTTCAGGCTCACTCCTCAATACTACCTTATCTTTTTTGAGTTTCCTTTTCAGCTTTTTTCTCTGATCTTTTCTTCAGTTTTAACTGATTTCTGAATGTCCTCTTTCATGATGTTCTCATGTGCTGTGTGGAGCACTTGGAATTGCCTTTTCTATACGATACAATACCATGCCTAGTGTCTACAGAGCGTACAGGGGTAGAAATGCAGTCTAGCTCTCCTCTTTGTGGGTCTTTGTTCTTGGTCAAAAAGACACACACTCAAAAAAGTACTTATTCTTGTTCTAAATATTCCAACATATTCATGCGATGTGCTGAATGATAAGTTGTAATGTCATGATGTCTGAGGCCTTGGTTACTTTCTGTTAAAATACACCTTCAGCTGGCACTTTTACAGGAATAAAAAGCGATGATTGTTGTGTTGATGAAACTCAAATACCTCGTTCTCTGTCCTGGGTGGTACATTCTCCAGCAGGTCGATCCCATTTACCACCACACTCTTCTTCTCTTTCACAGGGGCCTTGAACACTAGCTGGTTTGGACGTTTGTAACCTTCTTTTAAGGACATCAAGACTGGATCTGTTTGGACAAAAAAATAAAATACCAAAAACTGAAATAAGAACATGACACAAGGAACAAAGAGTCTTGAAACCTTCACAGAGCATCACAGAGTTTGTCTAAGTGTAAACTTTCATGTGTTTAACTCAGTGGTGCAACTTTATAACATGTGCACATTACAAAGTCCTTGTCTTTTGATCATCTATTAACTCTTTACCCATAATGCTGTGTGAAGGAAGCAAAGCAGTATTTGAGAAAATATTCCAGTTAGTTCTAGCTCTGTTAGCAGAGAAGTTCATCCTCCTCATTATCAGGAGTTTACCCTTTTTTCTTCATGATCAGTTTAAAGTCCAGACCCTCATTGTGTCATTTTGAAGGCAGCTAAGTTAAACTACAGAGACCTTTATTTTCTGGAAGACTACTTCCTTTATGGAGCCCCTCAGAGCAGGACAGACCTTTGTTTCCCAGCACTTTATTTTATTCCCTCAAGCCTCCTCCACTGCATCCTCCGAGGCTGTTGTGAGCTCAATGATGTGTAAACAAGACGGAGTCAAGCCAGTTAAAGCGCCACATCTGGTCAGATGTTTGATGACCTCATCATGTGTGGGTAACTGGACTCTGTCGGGAAGAGGAAGCACGAAGGGTCCTCTTAGTTCTACTGGCTGAGTTTTTAGAGAGATGGCAGGAAATCAAAAGCATCTCAGATGAAGCGGCTAATTGTGGATTTTTCCAATTACAATCACTCTTTTCTCATTGCTCTCATCTTGCTTGAGCCATTGCTTCTGCACATGTAGTATCCTTAGTCGCCTTACCCTGAAGTTGAAAACCCTGTTCAGCATGTGTCTCTGAGATTGATTATCCTTATTCCAGACCAGCGTGTGCACCCAGGTTGACATCCCATTTCTGTGTTTGGCACATGAGCTCCTGCTGTTCGATTGCACTGTGTTCACCTGATGTTCTCCTTGTAATCAGGATTGGGAGAGCTTGGCCGGCAAATGGGTCTGTCAACCGTTATCACTTTGGCACTCAGAGTCTTTGGGAGTGCCAGAACTCTTGAAATGCCAAGTTATCTTGGGGAGGAACCTGCAGAGGCCGAGCCGCATCCTTGCAAGATATCTGATCAGCCTCTTGTAGTTGTCCATCTTTGACACTGGAGCGCATGTATAAGACATGATAACTGCAAATTTGAACAGTTGTGTTGTTGTTCTCAGTGACACTGTGACCGCCATAAGAAACACCTTACATGATGTGTCAGATGGTTTCTTCCTTTCTTTTCTGTACAGCCTTTAAGTTAGACACTGAAGTGATATCTACACTGGTGGAATATTAAGTGGGAGGTTGATCTCTTTGTGACGTTTGTTTGTGGAGGACATCCCTTCATCTCTTTTAAGGTCTGCCAAAGTCTTTTAAACAGCCCTATGTAGGAGCCTCACTCTTATGGCCCCTTTATACTTCTATTCAGAACCCGATGTGTCCATGTCCAAGTTTGATTTTGCACAGTGTGTCGCCCAGGAAAGAGTTCTATCACTTGTAAACAAATTGGATTCACTACACACAGGAGGCACTGCTCCACCTAGCTGCCTCACCCGTTTACAAAGAAATTGTTTTCCCTTTTTTCTACACATTTAATACTATCTTCTTTGCTGGATTATTGGTGGATCGATTCACCTTTGCTATTGTGTTTTTGTACATTTTACACAGAATGGCAAGGTGCAGCAGGGGCAGGACAATCCTGCCTTGCATGAACAGACCCTCTACACATTTGAGGAAATCTTGGAAGCTTGCATCTTCCCCCTTTTTCTTTCTGCATTTCTTCAGCAGGTCTAAAACTCTCCACAGTGTCACAAGCCCGCTCCGTACGTCAGTTTTTAACAGGTTTAAGTCTTAAATCCCTCCTCTGTAGCCTTCCTCCATTGCTTCCTCAGGTGATTTACTCTCTTACCATGGGATCAGAGTCCCACTGCCCTCAGGACCTTTGTCTCTGTGGATCTCCTCTTCTCCACAGCCCAAACTCTGTAATCTGGTCAGAAGTGGTAAATATATTCAGGCTGTTGCTTCTGAGCTCTTCCAGGATGCTGCAGATGTTGGTGTCTTGCAGAAATCTGACCACTTCATGATTCCTTTTGCACCTAAACCTCCTCCACTGTGTGATGCAAAAAGACTGGTTTTCAGTTTGCACTCTAAAGCCCTGGTTTTCCATTGTGCAGTAGACTTTTTCAAGCCCTGCTGCTGATTCTCAGCCAACTGACTCAACCTGCTTCTCAGGAAGTAGCTGTCAATACTGTCCTTTCTTCATTCACCTCTTCTTGCTCTGTGTTTTTTAGGTCTACGGTGGAGGTAGCCTTTGCCCGGCAGCGCAGGTATCTTTGGACCTCGAGTCGTACTGCAGCTGTGAAAGCCTTTGGTTTGCAGATCATCAAACTTGTAGTCCTTTCTGTTCCTGTGCAAGTTGCTGTATTGTTTGCAGTGACTCATCATCAGTCAGCCCCCACTCTCTGATTAAGAAGGTATCCTCTTCTTAGTATTTTCTGTAGCCAAGAGTAGGTGGGTGGGAATGAATCCTACTTTCTAGAAACAATCTCTAAAAACCTCTAGACTCATGCTCAACTGGCTGATTTTGTAGCTTTCACTCGAGATTAAATTCATTTTGGGTCCTGGTTCAAGCTATATGATCTAAATAAGGAAATAGTATTTTCTAGTAATTTGTACCGTATCATGACAGTGACGTTGTGTGAAGAGCAGAAACAGTGAGAATGACTGTTGGTGACTTTGTCTTCGTTAAAAATAGTTTTTCATTAACAAATCAGAGGGATCAGATCCTTATTTAACTCAGTTTTTGGCTTGTGTTGAGGTGTCATTTCAAAAACTACCTAAGAGGTGTCATCCATCGCTGGGTGTATCTGAAGTGTTGTTTACCTCTATTTATGCCGCTCAGCCATTCACTGGCAGACAGCGCAGGTTCTGTTCCCGCTGTCATGGGGTAGATGTCCTCCTGGTATGTGTCCGACTGTTAACAAGGGCACGACACAAACACGCTTATTTTATTTCTTAGATGAGGCACACATGGTTATCTAGTATCCAGTGCAAAGTTTGATTGTCTCACAGCATGGAGAAACCTCTCTGCATGAAGATGAATGTTTTTCACTGATTTTACTCCACTCTTTTATTCAGTCCCCACTCACCCTTCTTGGCACAATCATGGAAATGGGTTCAATCAACCCCTTCAGTGTCACAAGTTTGTAGAAGCGAAACACCTCACATGCTCCCACATCCAGCCCGTGCTTTGGCATCACACCTAAAGACGAGAGGAAAAGAGTGATACCACAGCATAAAAAGTACTGCAGTCGACACCTGAGATTTTCCTAAAACTCTCTCTGTGTGAACACAATTGACAGCCTTGGTGAAATTTCCACAGAATGTCAGGTTAAGCAGATGTGAAAACACAGCAGGTTGAAGTCAGAAAAAGACACTGCAAGTTAGTCAGCCAGGGTGATGATATTCATTTAGTGTGGTGTACCGACAAATGGTGCAAATGCCCTTCACATAATGCTGATGATACTCTTCTCTGAATGTTCTTTCTTCTCATTTGTTTTTTCTCTAAATAGGTTAAATAAGACACAGAACTGATAAAAAGACAAAAAAATTCATCACCCTGCTTCGCCTTTCATCTTGGATATCCTGCAATCATGATATACAGACTCCCATAGTTACCTTTGACCCCTTCCCCTGCTTGACAGGTGGGGGGACACTGAAAGTAACCCGAGTGCAAAGGCAACTTTTTGAAAAATTTCACAGTCAGCTGTCCTGAAATTTTCAGGAGTACAAATGTGGGCATGGCTAATGATATTATTGTCCAGTAATAATTGTCAAATCACATTGTTAAATCACGTGGAGTCAATCTGAAACTGCACTCGACTAATTATTGGGGCTCATAAGACTGCGCTGACTTTCCCACTCCATCCCACCAACACTGCTAATGAAATGGTTTGGATCTGTTTCCTGCTTTCAACAGGAGGGATCATGTAGCACTAATCAACAAATGACTTACCTAGACCTTTCTGTGGGGCCGGGGACCTGAACTCCATTAGGTATTGTAAGTATGGCTTCTCTGTGGTAATCTCGAAGTAGCGGATGTTGCCGTCCCCCTGTGAGGATAACAGAAAGTGGCTGATAACATCATCCAAATCACAGTTATATGCCGTCTGTTTTTACTTGTTGCTCTGCTGTGAATCCCAGACTTACTGTACTGTAATGTTTTACCTTAGGTTTAATGTAAGTAAAAGTATAATTAACATTAGACAGAAAATTGAAGATTAGAAAGCAGAGGCATTTCTTGTTAGGTAACTAGACAACCAATTCAAAACTGACATTAACAACCTAAAACTGAAAACCTTTAAATATTTACACTGTTTAGAGTAAATGACATCCTGATCACACTATCATGGAAATTTATTTTTAAAACAGAGGCCAAATTATTTTAATTAAAATGGATCTGCATATGGGAAATTGAAGATGTGTCACAGTGCTGAAAAATGATTTCCTTGTCGTGACTCAGCAAAGTCTGGCACCGACCTTTCCTGCCAGGTACAGCATGTGTGTGTCAGCATCATAGAAGGGGAACAACAGTCCTGAGAGGCCGTCTATGTCCTCCTCCACAATTGGCATGGACAAATCCTCCTGAAGAGAGCCACACACACAAGCAGTTAACAACAACAACAACAACACACACACAGACACACATGCACTCACGCATGCTCCACCCACTCTGGCATTACAGGCATGGGCCATATGGAGGTGTTGTCTGACCTGATCCCAGAGAGCGATCTGCCGGGTGTTCCAGCGAGAAACCCCTGTGGTGAGCAGGCGTTTCATGTTGCCCAGAAACACCACCCGGTTCACACGGTGGTTCTTAACACTGGCATGCTGGTGAAGCAAACGCAAAGAGACAGCAGAGATTTCATGGAAAATGCAACAGTAGGGAGAGTTCATTTTCTTTTATTTAGGCAGCAAAATACATCAAAATGTTACTGAAATCCCAGCATAGAGGGAAAAGGGCATCAATTTAGCTAAGGTTATATTCATTGTAATATGAGATTTTTAACTTTCTATGTAGTAGTTTTAAAGGACTCAGTATATTATTGTGAGCAAGGTTGTAACTCAACTTTGAAAGCAAAATACTGATAACATGTCCATGTTTTCCACTTTTAAAGCCGCTGGAGTTCGGCCTGTATTTCAGGTAGTAAACACTTAAATGATTGACCCCTCCTCCTGCTGCCTGCTCTAAATCAGACCCACTTGGCGCAGCAGAGGTGCAGTGCAGCAGGGTCTAATCAGAAACGATTTCATGGTCATCAAGACCAAGACCACCAAGGTCAAACATGAAGGGACTGAGAAGTGGTCTGGACTAACTGCAGCTTTTTTGGCGTCATTAAACTGAGGCAATTTCTTTTTCTAAATGAAAATAATATTAGTCTGTGAGTGTGATCAAAATGTTGGCATTTCAAAGTAAAATGGAGTTGTATATATCACTACCAGGGGACTGAGGCCGGCTAGAATCAAGGAAAGGATTTTTCCAAAAATAATTCACAGTATTAGGTGAGCTGCTTGGTGTTTCATTCTGAAACCACGAGCATTCACGTGCTGTAATTAAAGTTTCCAATCGTCTGGTTTCAGGTTTTCCTGAAACCAGACGGCGTATTCAGCCACAAAAGCATCAGGGAGGTTGGGTACTGATGTGGGTGATAAGACCTGGCTTACTGTTGAGATCCAGATGTGAGATAGAATTGAAGGAGAGGCTCTGTGGAGGCTAGTCTCGCTTTTTTCACACAAAGATGGAAAAATCACTTCATTTACAGAGGGGGTTACCCTTCTGCAGTCTGGGAGTGTGTGTTGCAAAGATGGAAGTACCTCCTCTCTGTCTAAAGTAACAACGCTGATTTTGCAAATCATATGTACTCTGTATGTCAAACTAATCATAGCTAGTGTAACCATTATTAAATTTCCACAGTAGCATCACAAACATGTTATAACATAAACATTTAATCGATGTGCATTAAACCCTCAGACAGCAACAAGACCGACCCTTTTACCTGTAGGACTGTCCCGGAGCGTGGCTCAATAACACGCAGCTTCTTGTCTTTGCAGCTGGTGGCCAGCAGGCTGCCGTCTGTGTTGAAGGACATGCTGAGGATGACGTCGGTGTGGCAGTCTATCATTTTCACCGGCTCCCCGATCTCCAGGTTCCAAATCAGGATCTGACACATTGTTTGGGTGGAGATGTTAGACTGGCTGAAGTGCCTGAATCATTGATGGGATTATGTCGTGAGAGTGAAATTAGGCCTTGTAAAACAGCAAGGCTGCAATTATTCTCATTCTGATTTATGTTTCCTTATTTAATTCTCAAAATTATCAATAATTTTCAAAAATGCCTCTAGAAGCTGGTCATGGTGTTTCATGGACTTTATTTTTTGTCACATAAAACCTCAAAATATTGTGATTAAAGTGAAGAATAATGAAGAAACCTTTACATTTATGTTGATAAATCATTGATGCTATTAGTGCTGTTACATCCTGTTAACTGCATTAAGTCCAGCTCATTAGTGCATCCAGTTCCTGATGTAGTACCTTGTAGTCGTAGCCAGCACTGAACAGGATGCCACTGCTGGTGGGGTGCCACTCGATCAGACCCACCCGTCTGCTGTGACCGTACAGTTCCAGCACCGCCTCTGTCATGTTTCGCCTCAGACCACCCTCTGGGATCTCCCATACTCGCACCTGCCGTGTTCACAAACACACAGACACACAATTACAACATGAAAGTTAGTAAACCATGCAGCATTATTAAGCAGAAACACTAACAGACATTTCAGGAAGCAGGTTCTGAGTGCAATGATTTTGTCACTTCACGCTTTACATAACTCTCTGATACAATACTCCACAATACAATCAGCATGACACAGCTAGAGTTCCCTCTGATCAAAATAGCACATGGTATCAATACAGCCCATTGCATTAGGATTAATCTGGATTACAGCTATGGCTCGAGCCTCTGTGTATGACCAGAGGAGATTATCCTGCAACAAGTCAAAGTACTTTATAGGACACAGAGCGACCATGGCTTCACGATGATAAGAAGGGAAATATAACAGGTGCCTGAACTGGGAAAAAAGGCCAACAGGGTCTTAGAGGACAATATGTCGAGGAACATTTGAGATTAGGAGTAACAGAGAGTGACATTTTATACTGCATCCAATGTCATTTTGTGTAGTCAGCCAATCAGTGAGCAGCTAGCCTTCCTCGGAGCGGTTTCACATCTGTCTGTTTTCAGGCCACTGGCTCACAACAACAGCGACTGCAGCAGCTGCCAGATAAAGTCCAGCCACAAGCTTGTGTCCTGTAAAGACTCTGTGATTCAGCGAACCTTATTATGGCTAAAATGACCTGTTTGTTTTCTGCGTGAGTGAGTGTCAGCGTCAGTGAAAAAAACGATGCGTTATGTTTTCACTTCCTCTGTGTTAAGTCAAACTAAAAGCACAATATAAATCTAAAATCTGTAATAACATGTTTCACTCACTGAGGTGTCCTCGGAGCAGGATGCTACGATATTTTCAAAGAAGGGATTCCACTTGATGTCCAGCACATTGCCTTGGTGACCACACACTTTGGGGTAATGAGAATCCAGGCGGCCCGACTGAAACAGATCACATTATTTCAGAACATCTTTTGTTAAGGATTCCTCATGGAGTTTGTAGAAGAAATAAAAGTGCCAGCAAGCGCAATGATCCCGTGTTCTGGAATTAGAGACATGAAGCAGAATTTTTGAGGATTAAATGGACTTACATTAAAAACAAAATCAAAAATAATGAATGCATGAACCAGAGTTTAGATAACAAACAGTATGGTGCAGCTGTGACACATGACACAAAACATCAACATGAAAGAGCAGAGCCTTATTTTCAATACTCGGATTAGCAGAAAGTCACTGATTGAATTGTATCCTCTCCCGACTGTACACTTCTCTCCTACTACAAATGCCACAAACAAAACTGCTCAGATTTTTTATTGTGGTGAACATGACACAATAATGTAACACAATCAAATTTAAATTGCATCAGTGGGATGATTCAATGAATCCAGAACACAACAGAACAGAGCCGGTTATTGTGCAGGGACTTCAGAGACCACATTATTGTTATTGCAATAACCCAGTGAGTCCACAGAGGGGCAGTGACTCATAACAACAGCCGAGAAACACCTCGAAATGTCGGTCATGATGTCATCAATGTTTGATGTCACTTCAATCCACGCTGACCTCTTTTTTTTTATTTCCTCAGAGATTTGTTTTTGAGCGCCAGGTCATGCCTCACTGAAATCCTCTGTGTGTGTGTCTGTCTGTGTGTGTGTTTTTGCATACTGTCCCCACTGAACCATGAAGATTTGCTCCAGATTTACCATCAACCTTCTCTAAATAATTAATCATCTATTTCTTTTTTAAATTATGCATTTCAGTTTTATATTGAAATTGTAATTGAAGCATCTCTCCATCTTAACCTTAAAGGAGAGAATTTATTATTTTTCACAGTAAACAGTTTGCACTGATGCAGGAAAACATCCATCTGTTTTAACTATAATACCTACTTTTTATTAGATTTAATGTTATCAAAACTCAAACTATTGAAAACCAGCAGAATTAACAAACTTTACACAATACATTAGCTTATCAGATCTCCCCTCTGGTATAAATAAAGTTCTTCTTATCTTAATTCTTCATATCAGAACTATTGTATGTCAAATTGCACTGTATCTATCTAATACAACTAATTCAGTTTAACTATTTCCAGTGAGTCTTGGAATTAAAACAATTATTTTAAATATCATTTAGTTGTTCTCACGCTCTAGCTGATGTATGGGAAAACAACAAGCCCCTCTACCTGTTTTTTTTTATTGACTCATGTGCTTAACTTGTACAGAAAACTTGACCACAACCTGTTTGTTTAGTCAAATGGAGTTTGTGTTTGTTAACTATTAGCTGGAGGATTTAAAGAGAGGGAGGACTGACACATGATATCAGTCAGCCTCTTATAATCATTACTTTACTGTCATTGCTTTGGTATTGTCTTGCTCTATTCTTTTGGCATATAAGCTTTGCTTCTGCTGATTAAGTCATGAAGAAGTGTTTATTAATGTATGTTCATTATAATGGCTATACAATAAATAAGTTTTTCCTTTTAATTTTAATAAAGATTTGATAGAGAACTGTGCTTTCTCAGTCCATCAGGTCTTGGCAGATGGGTGTTCACAAGTCTTTTTCTGCTTCCTGCTGAAAGAAAGTTTTTCTCACTGTTGATGACAAATATTGACAAGTTCTTGTTCACAGTGGACAAAAACAAGGTCTTAAACAAGCAGCAACTTCCTGTATTGATAAATGAAGCCATCATGAAAGTGCAAAACTGTAGTTCCTCAAGCGTCCGCTGAGTCTGATGGTCATTTTAACAGTATAATTAAACATGTTTAGAGCCTGGTTCAAATGACGGCTATGGCCATGGTGCAGATCATTTATTTGTTTTAACACACTGTAAAGGGAGCGAATTTTAACACCCATCCTGGATGATATAATGGGTAAGAGTTATACATACACATTGCATGATCAGGCGTATGGCTGAGTGGATAGAGAGGCAGATGCCAGAGGGCTAAACACTTGGCTCAGCTCCACCCCTTTGGCTTTTTCTTGGTTGATCTAAAGCAACATGAAGTCTGCTTTTCCAGTGTGGTGATGGTTATATTTGTTAATGTCAGAAAGTCTCTCCAGAAACCAATGGGTGACATCACAGAGACAATACAATCTACAAGTTTTTTTGTTTTTTGTTTTTTTTTACAAAGCTCCTCTGAGGAGTTTTTAGACACCTTTAAAATGGACTAAAATTCATATTATATCTTTCCATGACAACCAAAAGCAAAGAAAACCATCAGCAACATGGCTGATGATTTTTATACTGTAATTTTCGATGCCTGAAATTGGTGCGAGGGGGTAGATGTTGGTTCAACAATTTCTACATTAAACATTGACAATGAACTTCACAAAGACGCTTAAGTATGAAGAAAGGTCAGATGTCCACATGGGGCACACAAACCTAAAGGTTCTCACAGGTGTTTAAAGTTTCTGGATATTAGATTGATTGGTTGATGTCCAAGCCCATCACAGTGCAAATGTATAAATGATAAACATATTTTTTCATCCTTATTTATTGCTTATCTTTGTGTGTTTCTTAGTCATACTGAGCTTTTACTGTCACTTAACTGACAAATAAGATAGCTAGCAGTATGAGGAGACAAAGTGGACTTCAAAATATGAAACATGGTTCATGTAAGTACAATTACAGCAATATGTTTGATAGATATACCATGTGAGAAGAGCCCACACAGAAAAGGCAGCAGATTGATAAGAAGATAACCAAGTGAAAAACAGGAAACCTGCCCCCGGAAAAATATTTAACCAGCTTTCAGTAAACACTTTGTCAGAGAAAGCTTCCCTAACAAGTTGAGGACACCTGCCAGGACCAATAAAACCTCTGCCTGCCAAATCCTGACGACAGTGAAGAGGGACATCAATTCAGTCAATACAAGAGGGAAGGAGACGAGGAGACAGTGTGACTAAGCTACTAATATGAGATACAATGAGGGGCCTTGAAGTAATAGAGAGTGAGAGTTTGGATAAAAGCACTTTGACGTCAGACCAAATCGAGATGTTGCTGCATCAAATTGGAAAGTTTCGGTGATGCATCAGATTTTCTGAGTGTTGATGTGACTGTGAGGTTTTAGCGCGGCCTCAAAACCTTAATAGCTTGGGATCTGAGGGACTCCGCTTTTAGATGGAACTAATTACCTGAAGAGAAATAAAGTCTGTTGGGAGTCACAGGGTTAAAATGGTTTATGAGGGATTAGGATGAATTCAGAAAATGTCATTTGGAGTTTAGGTGTGATGTGCTTTAGTTGAATTGCTATTGCTCTGCTAAAATGAAAGAAGTGGATGACTGTATGAAAATAGTGTTGCTGACGTTCATCTGGATGACTTGGAGAACACATAGACCCACATTAGGGCTCATAATCTTCCTGCAGCTCATTTCCTGATGCTGTCTCAGATGAGCACTTCCATTGACGCACAAATGTGCGGGCCAGGTACAGATTTCTGCAGTACACCACAGGCACCAAACTATGAATGCTACAAACTCTTATTGATCTGTGTTTCCCAATAAATCCACATTAACAATCTTACCTCAGCTGTTCTGTGGTTACAGTGTTATTATGGTACTTCCTTTCTGTACGGGAGCCTGTCAGGAGATGAATGTTTCCAAATATATAAAAGGACTCCTCTGGGTTTAATATGCAATAATGTAAATAAATGAATTTCAGATCAGGGGGAAATTAACAACACAGATTCAATAAATCAAGTCCAATATTTGCAGTTATGTGTCTCCTATGCATGTTTCATTATCAGCTGATGTTTCAGGTACAAAGAGCTACAGCCCCCTGATTCAAAACATCTCGGTAGTTATATATATGTTTGTTTTTTTTTGTATTAACATCCATACTCTCTGTAAAGCTCCCTTAACTTAAAAAGGAGATACTGAGTTAATAAGATTGAGTATCTGTATTGATGTAGTGGTTTATCACATGTGTTGTTGGTACTTTCCAACTAGCTGCATCATCATCGGGTCTGCAGGGTTGGAACAGTCAGGTGATCTGGTCACTGTCACTGGATCAATGGTGCCCTGTGCTGCCTCTACATTGCCTCTACAGCCTTGTCTATGACGACCAGGCTAAAAACTAAAAAGATGAACATGAAACCGGAACATGGCTGGTATATATGCCAGAGGCAGTATTTAATCACATTATACTGTACATCATAATAAAAATAACATTTAACACTAGGCAGTGACTGTTTTAGATTTGATTTGCTGTCATTCAGGATGGAAAAATGTGCTTTTGTCTAAAGAAGATAACAGTGAGAACAGCCAATGTTGATTATATCAAAACGCCATTAATCAGCCTGATTGAACATCCTATTTACTGTAGATCATCAAGCTAACCCATTCATGTGTACTTCCTCTATTGGCTGTGGTCTTAAATCGAGGTTATCATGAAATTTCACACAAATCTTATAAGTATAACATGATGTTTTAAGGCAAAACCCAGGGTTAGAAAAATTACGGGCTCCTTGCTGAGTATATTTGTGGCAAGTCACTTTTATATTCATTGCTAAATAGAGTTCGTGAAATTGCCAATGAAAATGATAAACTACCTAAAAATTTCCAGTCACAGTCTCTCAGAGCCAAAGGTGCTAACAAGAGCAAGAGAATATAGGACACTCTTAACATAAAAGTAGATTGAACTATTTTTTTTCAATAATATCTATCTCTTTCTAGTATGATTAAACAGGGGGTGTTGTGTCAGTGAATGTGACAAAGGACCACACCCACCAGGCTCTTTGTCTGAAGTGAGGAAGAGGTGTTAGTGACCTTATCTGTCAATTTTGGGGCCTGTCTGTGCACCAGGTGGTGCCAGCGGTAGTCCCTCTGCCTGCTAGCAGCGTTGTCTGGGGGTAACCATATGGCTGTCTCGCCGGCTGTCGTCCGAACATGTCTGCCAAACTCACACCTCTTACCACACCATTAGCTGAACACCCTGCTGATTTGTTTGTGTATGTAACGGAGCAGGAGGAGCTTCACTCTAATTGGCACATTTGTCATTTCACATTCGACAAAGACGAGAAAGTAGAAGTGAACTTTATTTTTCCTTTAATGGTTTTAAAATAATCAAGTCCTCGGTTTAAACTTTGCATGTTTTTCAGCCTGGTGGCCTCAGAGGTATGGCACTCTGCAGGCTGTGTGATGGAGACTTCTACTGAACAAGTTATTGATTCTGGTTAAAGTGTGACTTCCCCCTGCATACCAGACTGTTTCCTTGTTTGAATTTAGCCCCTGTCATTGATTTCTCACTTTGATTAACTCCTTTCTCTGTGTCAACCCTCATCCACTTTCCATTAAGCCACATTGAACCTCATCAAGAACGTTGTAGGTGTGTGGTTGATACACCATTTAATTCAAAATTTAACGCCCAGAATGTTAAGACCACCTACATGACTTAAATACTCTCCTCCTACAGAAGTCACCACAAACACTCGCCTGCACACGTTTACTTTTAACACAATCTTCTCAGCAGAAACTCGAGGAAAGCTCCCCTCCGGTATTCTGCAGGAAAGAATGAAATGTTTACAGCTTATTGCATTTCACGATCACCACATGAAACTCAAATGAAATCAAGAAATCACCTCTTATGTAACTGTCTTATACAAGAGCTCACTTCACAGTGCTGATATGTTGTTTTGAGGTAAGAATACTGTATGAAACAGCAGCCGTCGTCCCGCAGAAGCTGTCATCTGCTGCTGCTGAATATGATAAACTCCATTTGAGAACTTGTCACCTCAGCGAAAAGCAGCGGAAATGCCTAAGTGCAATACTTTGACGGGGCAGGAAATCGATCGAGCTGGTTGGGGTCAGGGAGTCAATAAACAGCAGGGGGAAAAACAGTAGAATATAAAGTTATGTAATAAATAACTGTTCCAACTTAAGAGCTCATTATTATTCAAAATGATAAGGTGCGATAACTCTGTTAAAGTAGCTTTGTAGCTGAAAATTATCTGTTATCACTGGTAAAAAAAAAATTGAAAACAGCTTCTTCTAGCATGAACTATTAACAACTACAGGCAGAAAGGAAATATATACCAATATATAAAAAAGTACAGTAAGGCATTAGTGCGAAGAGTCCATTAATCTGGTAGTAAGCACCACTGTTGGTTTAGGGACCTCTAAGCTGTCGTTTTCCATCCCTGACCTCCATACAGAAGCACATGATGATGTAAGTTAAAAAGTAGCTGAGGTCCCCCTGCTTTCCTCAGACAGCAGAACAGCTCAGCTTACTGAATACTTTTTTTCCTTCCCGATAACAGCCTGACTCGACCCTCTTTGCAGCCAAGAGCATTTTGAGTATCTTGGCAAGAGTGTCTCTTAAAGAGGCAAAGCACTTCTTAGTTTCTCAGGCCCGCTCTGTTGTTCATAAAGAGGAGAAAGATGCACTCTAAACATCCAAATGTGAGGCGTTCATCAGAGTGACAAATTTAAATCACAGCAACAGCCCCATACAGAGAATAAAATCTTGTTAATCGAGTGTTAATCCTCCTCTACACTCCCTAAATCAAAACTAATACCACCACTTGGGCTAAGTATCTGCACCATAACGTCCATGGATCTGACTCAGATTGTCAAGGTCCCAATTCTGATTTCTGATTCGATTCAATTGGTTTTAAGGAAACTTAAACATACAATGCCAACTTTGTTCCAGTATGAAAGAGACTCTCAGAAAACTAATGTTGTTAGATGTACTGGGAACCTTCAAACTGGCTGCATTAAAAAAATATTGAGGTTTACATCAAGAATTAACCCCAAAGCAGTCACTTGAATATATATTTATATTTTTCCACTGCATAATGATTACATAATCTCACATAAACTATTCTGTCAACCCTAACCTGATGTAGCTGCTTCAGACAGTTCTGAATGTCCTTTCTAAGAGATACACAAGCAAATATTATGCTGGACTTTTGGCTTTGCACCTACATACCTGCATTCCTAATATCATGTTGATGGTATTACATCCCATCTATTTACTATTTTAATTTGTCAAAACAAGGTTTGGACTTTATGATAGAGACACTTGATTTCTCCTTTGCAGAAAGTTAAAGGTTTAAGGTAACTTCAGCCGAGTATTTATATGTTGGTACAGACACACATTCATGCATGTGACAGATCCAGCGGCCTTGGTTTTTATTTTTGGATGGTAGGGACAGCTGGGTGGTAACTTTTTAACAAAAGTGCCTCCTTCAGCAGAGTTTGTCTCAGATCGTATATTTTTGCAGATGGTATATCAGGATACTGCCTTATTTAATGGTTTCTAAGATATGCAATAATTCCACAATGTTTTACCTCAGTGTTGCTGGACCTTGCTTTTGTCCAACTCCCCTCTGTCTTTAAGGTTTGAACTTTAATATTTGTTGGTGCCTTCAGTGGAGACGCTCGGCGTCCTGCCATGCTAGTTTTAAAAAACAATGTCTAACATGGTCAGATCTTACTCAGGCAGGTCTTGTAGACAGAGGCCACTCACAAGAAATGGAATTTGTTGAAAAACCAATCTTAGGACTTAATGGATCACTATCTTTTTACCACTGAACTAAATACATCTGAAATGAAAAAAAAAAAAGATATTTGAAGCCAGCACTAACCACCATACCCAAATTTTCAGTTGCATGTAGTTCTTGGATTACTTTTAATCACATTTTTATCTGCATAAGACCTTACAAATGTATCTCCATATAACATCAAATGATTCTGCAAAAGAATGTGGCAGATTGTATCAACCAAATGTGAAGAAAAGTGCCAGTAGAAAGAAACACACACTAAAATTTCACATTTCAAAACAACACTGGCCTTTTGTCTTCTTTAAGGGTATTACCAGCCTGCCCTGTATATAAACATAACAGCAATCTCACTTTCTTTACAGGTCTGGCTTTAGACTCTGGCTCCACAACAGAAGGATGTGAATTTCTGAGAAAAACTGCTTTGAAAGTTCAGATTTTATTGTGTTGTAAAACAGCACAAAGAACAAAACCCCTTAAACAACCTGTGACCAAGAATGAAGCATGAGAGGCCACAACAAACCAATGCTTTTACTCCTGTTGGATCGCTCAATCTGTACAACAACTATTTACAGGACTCAATGTGAATTTTGAACAATGAGTATTTAAACTATGAACTGAAGCTATTCAGGCCAAAACTGGTTTTTAGTGCAAGACTGTGAACTTCAGCTGTGAAGATTGGCATTTTAATATGGGTATTGGTGGGTTGGGGTTGGGGTTGTCAGTGTACAGTCAAGCATAAGAAAAAACAGCGGGTGAAGAGCGTGATTACCTGGACCACAGGTATGACAATGAAGGACCCCCCGCCGGCACTCTCGGTGACGACAGCCAGGAACTTGGAGTTGACGGCACAGAAATGGTTGTCGTGGACGTTCTTGGTGATGGGGATGCCGTCGAAGCAGTGCTCCCGATTCCCTACTTTCCCATAGACATTTCGAAACTTGGAGCTTCGGTAGGTCGGACGCCATGACATCTGAGAAAAATAAACAAACAGAAAAATAAGTTTGCCAGAACGTTCTGTTAAAGTACTCTAGACATTTTTTTTTTTAATACTATGTGTTGTTCCAAAGACTGGCAAAGAGAACCAGATTTTTCCATTGTGATGCGAAGCCTCTAAATCAGCACTTTGACCTTTACGGTTTCATGTCCTTCTTTGGAAAAAACAGGGGTGACCATTTTTTGAGAACACGGTTGGATATGGTTCTGTGACAGGCTGCCATGAAAATGACTGTCAATCATGAGGCGAATTTCTTAAATCCATGAAATAATTATCACACATTTTTTAATTATTCATAAATCAGTCTTACTGTTTTAAATGTGTTATAGTCACCTGTTAATAAAAATGTCAGAAAATGTTTAAAATGACAGATAATTTATTTTCTTTTTTTTTGTTTAATTTTTTTAGGGATGATGCTTTCATCGTGATTTATCTACCAAAAAAACACTAATTGGCTTATTTTGGTTGGATAACAGGCTTTCTTTAGGTGTTAAGATGTTTAATTTTAATTTTGTACCATCTGTGCTGTTCACTTAAACGAATCTAAAGGAATAACATTTATCCATGGTCAGTTATGGCAAATCGATGATGCTAATTCACAAGCGTTAGAGAAGCCTTATGTCAAATTCTCAGCTCCTAAGCGCACAGTTGCAGGGTGGGCCGTCCCATCTGTGCAGACATGATAACATTCACACATACAGTTGTGGGAAACTGTCCAGATTGGTCTAGAGTGTGAGACGTCTGAAGGGTGAAAAATGGATGAAAAGAGTTTCATGTTGCCTCAGACACGGTGATTAATGTCATGGAAAAGCATTTCTTCCAAGTAAGTTCATCACTGCATAGACAGCCGTGTAAACCATAATGATTAATTTCTGTTGTGCAGAGCAGATTGCAGCATTTCCTGCCGCTGTCATTCTGTTTGGGTTCTCGTACAACAGAAAAGCAGTCTTTGTTTGCAGTCAGTGCACACAACAAAAGAGGAGTGGTTACGCTGGACTCGAGATGCTTCTTTTGTTTGGCTCTCCACCACAAGAATGCATTTAAAAAGCTCTTTTTTTTTTTTTGGCATAAGCTGGTTCTGGCGAGAGACTCAAAAGTTGACCCAGACGCAGGAAGCGGACAAGTAATCCCCTTTGACCTGAGAGAAAAGTTGAGGTGATTTTTCTTCTGCTAATAAATGTTGCTACATTTCCAAGTATTTTCTGCTAGGATTAGATTTTAATATTTGTTGAAACTGACAGAAGAGGATGTGTGACTCTTGTCAGATCAGTAGCAGTAATGCAGGATGACATCAGGCAATCCTCTATTCAGTATTGTTCTTGGGATGTGGAGGGGAACTGGTGGGAGTGGTGTACTCATGCAAACAGAAACATCCTCAGACCATGCTGCTGCTATTGTCTTTCTCTGTCTGTATAGGTCTCAAACCAGCCTGGAGAAATGGCATCCAGGAAGCTCCAACAGCGCGGGGGTCCCATTGCTCTCACTTGAGCGCTCTAACAATGATCCTGAAGCAGCGTGAACTCTAAACTACACTTCATTCCTCTAAAATCAGGTTATTGCAGCATTCTCTTGCAGCGAGATTTCACATACACACGCTGGGTTTATACGACACAATCTATTCTGTTAGCTTTCGTTGCTATTTGTCTACAACCATCCAAACTTCCAGCTGAAACACAAACAATGAACCGTGAGTGAAATGCATATGGCCAAGAGGAGTCCTGGTTAAACAGATGTTTCTGTGTTTTCTTGTGGTTTATTTATCCCAAACAAATAAACAGTGAAACAAATCACGACCCCCTATATCTAATTTCTTCCATAGAGCCCTACAGGAAAACACAGGCCCTATACCTGCTGCCAATCTATATAAACCAGATGCACGCCGGTCATATTCCTGCCAACTTACATTCTCCCTAAACAAAGAACAAGACAGTTAAGATACTCATGTGACGACAAAATATGGTATGCAGAGGTGCACAAACAGTCCAAACAAGTTTTTTAACCTAGTTTTTGCCCCTACAAATGTCACACAGAGAAGTGACAGTAGGCTCCAAATTAACAGGTAAAGAAACACACCGCTTATAAACCTTTGAACTGTATAAAAAAAGACTGAAGCGTCTGTCTCTTACTTATTTACCTGATTTTGTGTGAAATGTTGGAGTGTTTTTTTTTTTTTTTAAAGGATCTTATCCTGCTTTTTTTCAGCAATCAAATATCCCCACTTAACAAAAAGATTTGACCTTGTGAACAAAAGCTATTATGGCAGCTTGTAGTTGATCACTTAACCTGACACCTACTCTGCAGCAGTGGTTTCATATGGGCATGTTTTGTAGTAAATGACTTCCCTGCAGGTCAACACCCACATACTACCTCATCTCCTGGTTCATAATACTGCCTGATTGGGTCACACTCTGTGCTTGTTTACATGCAGGTTGTAGAGTATTATAGCAGTACAGTATCAGTAACACCACCCACAGCCCCAACTGTTGACAAGAGTGTGTGTGCTACAGCATAGACACAACATCTATCAGGACTAAAATAATAAAGTAACTCATAACCCCCTAAACTGGTAATCGCAGCTGACTATTGAGAGGGGACTGATGTTCAATCTTTTAGTCATCCAGATGTGCACGTCAACGGTTTCATAAACTAACAATAACTACACAGAAATAGACAGTCTTGTTGCTTATAGTAGAGTTTGGTTTTGTAGGTCAAACAGAGGCCTAAATAATAACTTTGGTCCATTACAAAGCTAATTGAAAAATCCTTACACTTGTTTTGAATATGTATACATCAGAACACTCATGAAGAGGATCTTTTAGCAAAAAAAAAGCAAAAGAAAGCAAAAAAAAAACCAAAATAAAGCCTGAACATTTAATATAGTTTAAAGCTCTTTTGAGGGATTTTTGATGTGTTAGAAATAGATTTCCAAAAACAAACAAAACCATCAAAAAGGTGTAGAATTTAATGCTATAACTTTTAATATTTGAAACCTGTGCAAGAAGTAAACATGAGCCAAAAACTAAAGAATCATCCCTGTTTTTTTACCATTTCTACACAAAAAATTCACAATTAATGATATATTTGAGTGTTAAAAGTCAGCAGGATGAGATTTTGCTCAAACAAAGAGCAACATGAAAACGATTCTCCAAGTAGAGGTTTTGAATCAATAAGGACAGCAAATATTAGCAGCAGCTCTGCACATGTGAAGCCACTGATAGCACATAACCGTCTCACCCTTGTCCTATTCTGATCCAGACTGACTGCTGTGAGACCATGTCTGTATGAGCAGCATAATGGCAGCTTGTTAAAGAATTAATATGGAACAGAAGAGCAGCAGAGAGTGGCCTGAGGGACGATTAGAGGGGAAGGAGAGAGTGGACTAGTCTGTTTTGAGCTCTCTTTACAAGGATGCTCATTCATTGGTCATCAGGAGTCTGGCACAGAGAGGATGTCTGTGTGTGTTTGTGTCTTTCTTATCTCTTGAGGGTTGGAGGCATAAAAACACACAGCGACACCAAGGACAGAGGCATGCCATTTCACAGAAACTCAAAGAAGACATGTCTTTGTATCTTTTTGATCACAAGACTTGCATGCTATGAGGATAATTCCCCCCGGGGTTTTAAAAGGGTGACGTCTTCTTCATTTTGCACACACTCTTCTTACATTACCCACAAAACTTCTTGTAGAAACCAAAAAAAAAAACTTTCTTCAAAAAAGTATTGACACTACAATATGTTCCCATCAACTCCTGAGTGAAAATGTAGTCTTACCTTACAAGTGTCACTACTGTCACAGAGTCTCTGCGGCCTTTTCTGCCTGCAAACATCCAACCTCCTGTTTAAGTGAGGCAGCCAGAATCTCCTCTCTTCCTTCCTTCCCCTTCAAATCCAAGCAGCCAGCCTACGTCTGCTCTACCTCCTTCTCACTCATGTTTTTCTCCCTCCTCCCCTTCAAACTCTCTTCTCCTCCTACTGCTGCTACTGATAGCTGGAGGGCTCACACTCCCCCCTTTCCTCCTCTTTCCCTTTTCCCTCTTTCACCCTGCCACTCAGTCTCTCCCACAGCCCATCCAGCTTGGGTAGAGCAGCAGCGGCAGCAGTGGTTGAGTAGTGGCCATTCATCCTCCTTCCTCTCCCACCCACAGCTTGTTTGGAATCACAAGGCCTTTCTGGCTGGTTCCCAGCACTACCAGCAGGTTTTCACTCCCTCAGTCTTCCCATCTTTTAATCTCTTTCCTCAAACTTTCTGACTCAAATCCCTCACTCCACAGGTGTGAAATCTGCTGAAATCATGTGGGGACAGGTGCACCCCAGAAGGAGGGCCTGCTACTGTTGACCTTGCAGAAAAAGTACATCACGATAAAGACCGTCAGAGAGGCTTTTCTTTAGATGTGAAACATGCAAGGACAAGGAATGTAGAAAAGCCTGTTCTCAATAAGAAACTAAACAAGCCAAAGATGTCTCAGAGCTTGAGAAAAATGTCCTCTGGCTCTTCTGTGAGTGTAACTAAAAACCTGCACAGTAGCTCCAACAAAAGGCACTGAATCCTGTCTTAGATTTTGATTTAATTTAACTTATATGGCAGTACTGGGAGTACTGACAAATCTCAAAAGTACAAATGGTAGCAGATAACAGTGTTTCACCTTCAAGCATTATTAATATTAACTGTGAAGCTGATAAAACAGGAGCGACCATGGAAAAATATTTGGTTATATAAATGTAGCTTTCACATCTCGTGTTTTGTTTTTTCACCTTTTTTCTGACTGTAGAAAGAAGTTGATTTTTATGCTTTGTTATATAAACCATGGCAGCCATCTTGCTATGTTTTGTTACGTTTTACATGCCAAAAACTGGGGATGCAAAATATACATTGGTCTATTAAGTTGTTGGCACACAATGGGAACATTTTCTACAATTCACTCTTCAGATAACACAGTTTTATCAAAATCAATGAAAGCTGCTTTCATTTCAATATGAACCACATGAAGCCTTTACAATTGGACACAGTATACAGTGGTTTTCTATAAGCTGTTCAACACAAAGAAGAAAAACAACTGAGCAACAGCAAGAGTAGGACAGTTTGGAGAAAAGTCTTCAAGTTTGAACACACAGAACATTGAAGTCACCTGTAAATCATCATCACAACTGAGACAAAGAGATACATGAAGAAAAAAGCAACAGATATTTAAAGGGATATTCTGACATAGAATTAAGTTCGGGTCACCCCGTTGAGAGATGAATGCTGCCGACTGCATGATCATAAATGTTCTTCCTTGAGGTGCAACCCCCCCGCTGCAGTTGGGGATGGACGAGTCCGAGCTCTCCCTTCAAAAAAGCGGCTGCTGAAAGAGAGTAGGTGAGTTGGGTTTAGTCTCTTTGCTAAAGAAACCAGGAAAAGCTAAAAAGATGTTTGGTGGCTAGTACTATGGCTGAGACTCTATATGTACTGTTGATAAAGTTAGGTGCTGTTCTGAGCATTAATTGTGGCATCTCTCGGAGGGGTGTCTAACTTGGTGTTACAGTGTGTTTGACCCTAAATTAATTTTACATTGGAATATCCCTTTAAGAACTGCAGAAGTTTACATAAGACAAAATCACTGGATTTACAGCACTTAACACGCCTTAAGACCAAAGATTTCAGCCAATCAGTGGTGCATGTGGAACCCAGGCTCAGTTTTTTGGGTTGTAACTATACTCTGCAAGAATATCCTTATATCCTTACACCTGCCATGTTTGACGTGATCTCACACACAAAGTCAGATCCACAACCTCAACAAGAATAGCAATAGCACAGATCAATGGCTGTTTGACATTATTCCACTGAATATGCTTTGCTTAGCAGCAGTGGCTGGATGAAAGCTTGAACATGACATTTTCTGGTGAGTCATGCACTTTACATTTTGAAAACTACCTGTGTTTTATTTGATCACAAGTTTGAGCTGACTCATAATGAAAGCCCAATTCTTCCTGAGTAAATGGACTGGTCTGATCTGACAGTCTGTCAAACAATGAAAGCACAAGCACGTCAGCACGGTCGATTAATCTTAGCAGGAAAGTAGAAGTCTTGAAAAATCTGCATACTCCCACACTTTGTGGAAGGTTATGTCAGGTTAATCTGCTGTTACTGTTTTAGTTAAGGGGTGTGTTGGACTCTGCTTCATGTCTGATAACTCAATGGAATCATACACTACAAATGTTGTGTTACCATGGTTGGATTGAACAAGCAACAAGCAGGTCTTGAAATAGCTGGAGTTCATTTGAGCATCAGTGTCTGTTTCTGTTTTTAAGTATGACTTTATTGGGAACAATGATTAAATCTTGTAATAAACAGAGGTCAAGCCTTTTTTTCCCCACAGCTGAAAAATAACATGAGTGGATCTGTAAATCTGAGTTCTGTTCAAACGCACACTTAAAGATTGGAAGTAGCTGGTTTACTCTTTTGTGAGAGTAGCTCCAGCTCTTCTGCTCTTTTACTACAGATACTCTCTAAAGTAAACCAACCCCCAGGTCAGGTCAGTACTCAGAAGCAGGTGTTGCGGTGAAAATTGCATCCCCTGACGGTTGTCTGTGTGTTTGTAATGTGGGTGGAGCCCTGCAGGTTTATGTGAAGGAGGTTTTCATTGGTCTCTTAGCTTGCTTTGTAAGAGTGTGTGTGTGTGTGTGTGTGTGTGTGTGTGTGTGTGTGTGTGTGTGTGTGTGTGTGTGTGTGTGTGTGTGTGTGTGTGTGTCTCTGTGTCTGTCGTAAACTTTGTTTCTAGCATTTATTATGTGTTGTGCATGTGCATTTTTTTTAGCGCCTGCGTCCATGTCTGCCCATATGTTGTCTGTTTGCACCAGTGTACATTTACTGTAGTGCTCATGGCTGGAAGGCGGACCACTCCAGAGAGGAGTGTGTTTATTGACTTTCCTTTACGTCTTGCTTCAAGGCACCGCTGCTGCTCTGTGCGCACTCAATCTTTCCTCTTCCTCTGTCCTCTCTTTGAGATTTTAACCCCTCTTTCTAACATCCTTGAAGCAAGATGTCTTTTTTTCTCAGTTTAAAACAACCTCGTAAATAAATAATCACAACAAAAATAGTGGTAATACTTCTACAAACCTCGAAATTTGTATTGTTGCAAGAAAAACAACCACACAAGGCTCTGCTTATCCATCATCCCAGCTGCAGCCAAATGCCCACTCTCATCTCAGACTGTACAGAATCACTGACAGCATACAGACTCATTATGGGCCATAAAAGACCATTCAAACGCTATCAAAGTAAATCAATGGGTTAAATCATTTCAATCAAGATTTTCCTCATCATTGGTGCCAAATAAGGAAGTGGAACCATCTGAACTCGTATTCAGAGATACAAAAGAGAAATCCACAGGACGACTGCACCTCCTGTCACTCAGACATAGAGAGCTCTGTCAGCCACTGTGCCATGATCTGTTTCTTCTTCCCCTCTTGGCAGTGACTCTGTACACTCATTTATGACGACTTCCTTTCTCTTTAAGGAGTAAATATCACCAAAAAGAGAGACGTTCTATTGGCTCTTCAGGCCAAATTTTCTCTCAGCGTGAAGTGGGATCTCCAGTTCTCACTTACACAGGAAGTGTCACAGCTTGGCTCAAGTGGTGGAATATTTTCTGCTCTGCTACAGCGATGCCTGATGGGACAACTGAGGTTCATAAAAGGCTTTTGTGTGCTCTAGAGATGGAGATTGTCAGAGCAGAGTATTTGCATTCATCTGGCTACAGCTGACAGTCGGTGAAAACCTTTTTCTGTGCAGCAGTGCTGACTCTATCGTCCCCCAAACACACATTTTATTTTGAATATAACAAGTGATGTTTGTTATCGCTTATAAGGTTAGATCATTCTGAGATATGTGGAATTGCAGTGAGGGTAAAACTGTTTGTGCAAGACTCTAAAACCAAATACATTATTGATTCAATAATTATTTTAAGCAAAATTGTAAGTTTTTGATGATCATTTCAGACAGAGGTGGATAAATCACAAGATAAACTACAACACTGTGATTTTACCTAAGTACTATTAAAAGTACTCTGTTTAAAATTTACTCAAACTACTGAATGAAGAGAGGTTGAAAAGGAAGATTCGCCCCCCAAACTAAGTAAAAGCATATTTTTCCAAGCTAGCTGTTGCTTAAGTATCCCACTGATGTGGAAAAGGATTTTGGTGATGTAGTACCTATCCAGAGTTAGGTTACAAAGAATTTGGGGGTTTTGTTTTGGGTTTTTATACACATTTTGTGGACACACCCTGTACACAAACCAGTCTGATCATTGTAATTTGTGCTGAGAAAAAGAAAGTGAATACTGAAAAAAATCTGGTCATAGCTAGCTACCTGCCTTGAAAAAGAAAATATAGAGCGATATGGAGCTCTTCTGAGTTTTCTCACATACAAACAGAGATCTAAATAAGTTGGTATGCTCCACTTAGTAGTACCACCACTTCAAAATGTAACCCCCTTGGCATACAGGGACTTTTTTGGCATATCAGTATTTCTTACCAGCTGCTGGTACCCTTTTCAGTACTCTCTACTTCATAGCAGCACCATGAATGAGTCTCTTGGTGTGACATGACACTTACTTGTCTATTTTCGTTGGAGAGTGAAAGTCAAATTGATGTGAACTAAACAGTAACAGCAGCAATGTTCGCCTGGCACTAAAAGAGCACAAAGAGGAAATGTAGCAGAGCTGGTCTATGGAAATTTAGAAAATAATACGGATGATTCACTGATAGAGGCTGCAAAATACACAGTCCAACAAGTGAATAATGAGAGAACCAGGCTTTATTTTATTCCACTTAAACCACTTTATATAAATGCAATGCAGAAATTTGCTAAAGATGAGGCTACTTAACCTTCAGGTTTCACCTGCAATAAGAGGACCTCGTTAGAAATCTATTTGAAATATTTCACATGGATAATAACCAATATCATTGGACCGTGTTGAGAGAAATGAAAAACACATTGAGAGGTTTTGCATTGAGTCACAGCAGCTCGAGGAAAAGAGTTAGCCTTCTGTTGGCAACGGTGACAGACAGCTCCGTTGAGTCATGACAAAAACATGAGCAGGCAATAAAAGGAGAAGTTTGCACCTCACTGCAAGGTGTACTTACAAGCACCCATGAGACTTTAGACTACAAACACACTTTGAAATAAACTCTTACTTTAAAATCTGATGCATAAAGCCAGACACAGAATAAACATTTGTCATGCGTGAAAAGTTTTCTTGAGAAGTCAGGCCCAGCCAACCCTGCAGGAGAGAGCAGCTGTGAGAAAATGGAATAAAATAAAATAGAGCAGAATAGATTTAACACACCTGCTCAAGCAACCCAAACTGAATCCATCCATCTGGGCTCTAGTTGGATTTTCCAGATGGCCAGTTAAGGAATGTTGGAAAGGTAATCTGCTATTTGACCTGCATTCATTTCAATCAGCTGAAAAAGAGTGGTCGGAGGAGCTCTTGAAACTCACTCAGCATCAATTATATAACCCCTTAATGTCTGTTATATCAATTCTGGAGTTTCTAAAACTATTCAGATCACATAGAAATGCACAGTAACAGCTCAACTGTAACACATCTCATTAAACTGTGGGGTTAGGTGAAATGGAAGTCTTTCCTATCATTAATGTCAACCTGCCAAGCAATGCTAGCTCATGAAGACTTCTGACAGGTGGAGGGTGGGGGTGGTGATACCTGCAGCACTGCATGTGCTACATTTGCAGTGCTGCAGTATTCCCCTGCATAACAAAGACTTTGAACTGCATATTTACCCACATGATGTCTGTTAAAAAGTCCCAGAGGAGCCCTGCAGGTGCAATTGTTTAACTGCATGTGCTGCGTGGGAGAATTGTGCCGGTCTGGACTATCAGGGGAATATGTCTCAGTTACTTTTCCCATGCAGTTAGTGATGGCATACAGAGAGGGATGTGAGATTCATGTGAGAGTTTATGTTTTAAAGATTGGACGGTGGGGCCTCGATAGTAAAAAATAGGTTGCTAATTTTGGAAATCAAATAAATCAACAAAAATGAATAAATGTCAGTCTGGTTAAGTGATATACATAACAGGGGGAACCAAATCCCCAACCACATTATCCAGCTATGTTAGTCAGTTATTTCAGCCAGACTATGATGTTTCCAGGTTTTGACTGGACAAAGGTAATATATCAATTATATTGGACGGCATGTAAACATACTAACAGGTAGAGCTGGGACGATATGCTTTTCTCCCAATTCGATTCTTCTACGATTTTTTGGACGCTGATTCGATTGCATTGTTAACACCAGTGAAACAGTTGAATGATTATGATTGTCTAATGACTATTCCAGGAACCCTATTTCCCCCAAAAAATATGCATCACATGTAAGTTGATTTTTGAACATGAAAATCGATTTAAGAATTGTAAAAAAAAAAAACGCGATACTTATGTGAATTAATTTTTTTCTCCCACCCCTAAAAATAGACATAGCTTTAACTCATCTGCACCATTAAGAAGCAAAGGCTAGCAAGCTTACATGTTAAACTAACACAACAGATACTGTAGCTGCTTATCATCAGAATAATTAAAACTGGAGCTGAAGAACTTGGTAGATATCATGTTGTCTGTGAGCTCTGTGAGGCTGTAAGAAAATACTGCAACAAATGAAGAAACATCCAATCATTTGAGCTGACACATCACTGAGGTTTTCTAAGCTGCGGCTCAAGCTTAACCCTGGGATGGCAAAAAATTAAATGCAGCCTTTCAACTCATTTGTACATGAACTGCAGGCAAGCTCAGTCTGCTATGAGATAACAGAGGTTATAGAGAGGAAGAACTGCTGTTTAAATACTGACAGGAAGAAGCAAAAGCTTGTGTATCAAATCAAGACCATGAAAGTCGAACACATCGTAACGTGTATCTTGATGACAACTGTAAATAAAGTAGACAAAGTGAAAGATTAGCCTTCGTATAAGTCTGCTGGAACACTTGTCATTGCTGTATGAGCTTGTGTGTTCATGATAATAGGGTATTACTGTGTGATAATGACAGGAGATGCAGGAGCTGCAGCTAATGGCAGCTCTCAGGCCTAGAGCCAGCCCCATTAAGCAGCGGTAATGATGCAAAGAGCACACTGCCCAAGGACAGGAAACCCAGAGAACCAACCTGAAGGGCACTTAACAGAGCACAAGTACACAGAGGAGTGGGTGTGCAGGAATCCATCCATCAACTCATCTATGAGGGGTATGAGGAGATTGCTGACAGGAGTATTATCTTTCAGATGATGTTGTTGCTATGGATTTTTATTAACCTGATATTCTAATAACTACCAATACTGTTTTATTTTCCTCATCCATCCTTATTCATACAATATCTTGACTTCAAACACAACAGAGAGACACCTTCTCACTCCACTTATAAGGTAAGTCATGAAAACCAGAAAAAAATGTCTAAATTAATCATCTTCCCGGTGCTTGCTTTTCATTTTCCCCCAGGAGAGGCTGCCACATGCTTTTTGGAGCATAATGATGCAAGCTGGGCCCTGCACCCCCAATGACGGAGGGGGGTTGTTCAGGAAAAGTCCAAAGGAAAGATGGAGGAACAAAAGAAAACATGCCTGTCCCAGTGACAGAAGAGATACAGAGATAAATGCTGAGCTTGAAGGAAAGAAAAGGGGATTCAAGGTGAAAGAGAAGACAAGATAAGAAAAAGATAGAAGGAGAGAGGACTAAAACGACCAACAAAGAATGATGAAATATTTAGACACAAAGAAAAAAGCAGACAGAGAGGAGGAGCAGAGGAGGCTCCAAGCAGACAGAGATTAACTCCCCTCTGTCCAACCACCTGCCTGCAGCGCACACACACACACACACACACACACACACACACACACACACACACACACACACACACACACTACCTTACTAGAATTGTCTGGAGATAAAGATTGACATTTTCGATAACTAAAAACCCACAACTGCAGCATCAGACAGATTAAATCTCAGTCCAGGAAGCATTTAAACTACACATCATTATCCCGACAGAAATACACTTCTGTCTGCTGCCAGATTTCAGATCCAAAAGATCACACATACAGAGCCAGATTAAACATATTTGTAGTATTTGAATTTCAAGAATGCAAACCCCAGGTGATTTGGTCAAGAGGCAGAGCCATACACTGCTTGTTTTTAATGCACTCTCAGGGAAATTCATTTTATCAAGCAACTACTCCAAGTCCACAAGGAGACATGGGAACAGACTGTCTTTTAGTACTTGTTTCACTTTTGCACTGAAACATAAAAGAAAGAAAAATCTGTGCTTAAAATCCTGGCTGAGTAGATGGAAACACTTTTTGCATGTTGTAGTGCTGTTGGGAATAAACTGGAAATCAAGGATGCAAAAACTGTTGAAGTCGCTGCCAGGATAGTTGTTTCTTTTAAATTTCATGGGATGTTTGCGTGCTGTTTTACCTTTGTTCATTTAACACCTAAAGATATTGCAGTCTTGGGAAGTTGGAATAATGAATATGGTTGTAAACTAGGATTTACAAGTACACATTCAGATGGGGATTTTCAGTACAGTGCAGATGCAAACCTACCAATCCAAGTTCGCACGTGGACCATATGACATCCACTTGAGTCATCACTCAGGGGGAAAATATCAATAAAGCCTCCTGCAATGTTATAGAAGTAAAAACTAAATGGCCCACTGGTGAGTTGGTCTGTCATCAAGAACTGATCACAAAAACCTGGTTTCAGCAGAGGTAGCTGATTTCTGGACTTGTGTGAGCATCAGTGTACGTTTATGTGTGTGTCAGCCACTCATGCAGCAAAGCTCTGACTTGCAGACGGATGAGGAGCATGAGAAAAGGCTGCAGCCACACCAGCAATTCTTGATTCTATTTTTATATCTTTTATCATGTTTTATAAAGTAGTCTGAGCGGGCCTAGAAGCCTAAACTGTAGGTGCTGCTGTTTAGACAATGTGTAAGTGTTTTTAATAAAGGAAAATTCATTTGATGCATCAAGTTACTTTCTCTTGCTGTGCTAAAAGTGAACCACGCAGTGACTTTAAAACTGAGGTGCAAACTAAACAGTAGTGTTTGAGTACTTCTGCACCCTTTGCGATAAATTCTCCACAGGACCATGTCAGCAGATCTACTTGACCTAAAATCAACAGAATTATCTTAAAGTTTGTAGGTTTGTGGAAATAAAAATATTCTTGCAATGCCGCTGACTTGACATGTATTCATTTTTACAAATGATACAAGAGGAGAGGACAGGTTTCTGACTTCGTATAAAAGCCACACTACTTATTAAACAGCCACACCACCACCACCACCTATCATATCTTGTCATTTTGAATAGACAACATGAATGTTTGTTGCAGCTTTGTTTCATTTTCATGATGGACATCTGTTCAAGTCTGAGATAACAGGTATACAGATATCTATAGGACCGACACTACATAAAGTTTATGATTTATGTCATGGTACACAAATCTCATTAGCACTGAAATTAAACCTTTTCTGGCTCTGGTTCAAATTGAGAAAGCTAAATGGCGCTGAGCCCATGTCAGAGAGGCAGGAGATGAAGGAGCACTTTCATCAGATTATTGGAATCCACTCTATAAGTCAAGATCATAGAAACCGCTCTGTGGAATGAATAATCAGACAGTGAGTTATGATATCAGACCTGCTCAGATATTACGTTTTCAAAACTTCAAGGTGATTGCCAGCGGAGCATGTTGACTTGCAGAAGGTCTGCTCATGAAGCTGACTTCAAAATGAACTCTGGTGAGTCATTACATGGAAATATTTCAAGTACCTGAACGTGCATACCGATTTACAGTAACTTCTTTGGTGGAAGGACACTATACTTCTGTCCTTTAATGAAGTCAGCCTCAACCCTGTAGTACACTTGTGCATAATCTGTCTAAGTGATGGCTGTATTTGAGCACATTTATTTCTGCTTTCATATATTCTGGTGAGGGCCTGGCTTAATTCTATATAGTGACTTCAGTTTGGGTCCTCCTGTTATCCAGCATACTAGCATGCTGCCACGCTGTTATGGTTGACTAAGACAATCAGAGAGAGCAGAGTTATGAATGTAATCAACAACACAAGCTTTTACTGCTGCAAAATGGGCCTAAACTAACTGATAATTACATGAGAAGGTTGAAGTTAACACCAGTAAAAAACAGACTTGGGACTGAGACATGAACAGAACGGCAGGCCTGGCCAGCAATCAGTCCTCCTCCTCATTAAAACCATTAAACGAAACCTTCACTCTTTTGGACATTGACTTATCTCTCTTAATTAAAATTGTCTGATCTTCAATCCAACAAAGCAAACTGTATATTTATTGGTCAGATTATCAAACTCAAGGAGAAGCTTTTCTTTCATGAGACTGGACAAGAAACAAAGCTTTGAAGTTCAGAGACTCAGTATGATGGGCTATACATGCTGAGCTATGTCACTGACCACATAACCAGCTTTCTGGTCTCTCTTTCTGCTTTTATCTGTTGCTATCTGTCTAGCCCTCTTTTTTCTCTGCCTCTCTTTGTCTGTCTTCACAGAATTAGACACAACATAAATGTGGAAAAGCAAACCTAGACAGCGAAGGTGGCCAAGCCACGTGCCAGACCATCTGCTTAGCTATTCCACAGAGTGACCGTTTGAACCTTGGCAAACAAGAACTAATTGTGCTAGAAAGCGTATCTCCTATCAGCAATGTGAGATGGGGAATAAGACAAAGAGGCATATTTCACTTAAACAAACAATGCATAACTTACTTTTAGCTGCATGAGTTGTTCCACAGTGTAAAATTCACATCTTTCTGAATTATAAGCAGTCATGTGATAAAATGTTTTTGGAAGTCTTCATTCAAAACAACAATTTGGGAGCAGAGGAGTTTGTAGATTCAGTGATTCTAAAAAAAAAGGAAACCTACACAACCAAACCCGATTGAATGTGCAAGCAACTTTTGACACAATCATGGACAATATGCAAAAACTGCATTCAACCTTGTTAATAAAACCCATAGATCTCTGTTATCAAGGCAGAGGAGAGAAAAACTACGTTAAATTTTCTCACCACCTATTAGGTCTGATTTTAGGATTATACTATAAAGAAGAAGAAGACAACAAATGTGTATATTTCTATGGACTATTAAAGTGTTCATAGGCTAATGTGTATATCTGAATGCAGATTGTGGAAAGGAGGGACACGGTTTTTGGTGTGGGAAGATGTGAGTTTTTCTCGTGTAGACCAAGCTGTACGATCCAATCACTAACCAGCAGAAATACATGGCAAGAACCCATTTTCCATTATTTCACATCAGCTTGGCAACATCTTTGTCTCTCAGAGAACCTGATCCAAGACTAAGGTCTTTTCTCATGTCTCAAGTTGGATCGGAGTTGGAGGATAAGAGGTCTTGGCTTGTCTGTTATCAGCTGTTCGGACATCCACAAGCTACACCAAAAGGTTACTCCCAGAGGCTATGGGACGTGGGACCTGAGTCCAAGGTAATGGTGAGCACTTATCAATCTGAGACACAGCATACTGTGAACTCTTCTTCAGTGGAGTGGGAATAAATTAATTACAGTGAATTTCAGTAATGGAAAATTCTGTTTTCTAAATGTGTCTTTTCACACAAGACCTTTTAACCTTACTGTGCAAAGTCAAGGAGTCACCAAAAGTTTGGGGAGTCATTAAACAAACAAAGGCATCATCTTTCCAGTAAGATTGAGACTTTGTACCCTGGACCAAAGTACTGGAAAGATTAACTAAGCCACAGAAGGCACAGAGGCCAGATAGCAGTGATGAAAAGCCATTACAGAGCTCTTTGTCTGATAGAGTTACCCAGGGCAAAGAGATAACTGATGTCCTTGAACATAAACCTCCTACATACAATGTCATATTAGTGAGCAGGGTCAGTTCTCTGTAATCTCTTTATGATGACTCCCGTTTTAATGGACTTGCGGATTCACATAAAGTGTTCAGGTTCTGTGATACAGAAACAAAAAACCAGCCCACCATACTTACACACCCTATGAGTTACAAAAAAATAAGTCATCAGGACAAAGTGAGCTGTAATTATTTAATTCACTTAGATGCCAAGGATGAGATTAAAAACAAAGAGAAAATAAAGAGTGCAGAGCAAGACAGAGCTACTTTCTGTGGGATAAAAGGGCCCAAAATGCCCTCCTGATCTTTGTTGTCAATACAAATGAAATACATGCATGTCACCTTGTCTTACTAAAGGCAGTAAACTAATAAGGGTCATTCTCTGAGAGCAATTCTGCAGCAACTCTGGCACCTCAGCCTCTTTTTAAGTGGGGGCTGGGAAACTCCAGATGTGTCTCCTCATATCAAGGACTCCTAATGGGTTTTTCTACCAAAGTCAGCAGGTTCAGCTGCAACTGAAATATCTTGCTGCTGCAGGTAAAAAAAGACAATATCAGAAATAAAGTGGAGGTGGTACATGTACTGTTTATTGAACTTATCACTCTGTTCTGGGCCTTTGATGCCTGTTTTATGAGTGTGTTACTTTCTCCTTCCTCACTCAGTATAAAAAAGTGATAATTCAATGATGGTCAAGAATGTAGCTGCACATTGCATTTTTACCTTTACTTAACAGGCCTCACATCCACTAATATGATAAGATATGAACAGTTGTTACTACAATACACTCTCTTTTACATCTGGGACCATTTCTCTAGTGTCTCTTTAACATTGTCTTTTGCAGCTTTCTGTTTTATTCATGAAAGAATGAAACAAAAGATATATCTGCTCCTCACTAATGCACACAAATGGAGGAAGGGAGACAGACAGATGAAGGCAACAGTGTGTCTTTTCATCCATGTGTGAGCTTGTTAAGCCACATTTGAAACGACAGTATTCCCATATGTGTGTGAAGGTTAATGTGTTGTGAATTTGACCTATATTTCAGAGGATCGCTCAGCTGATGAGATCACAAAGGGAAGGTTTAACCGTATGAAGCTAATGTTGCTGTCAGTTTACATCCAGGCTGCTCCTCCTGTTTCTCACATCTTTTCCTTTGTACTGTAAAGCCTAACAGTCACATGGCAGAGTATAGTGTTTGGTAAAAAGTGAATGATTTGTTTGCACATCTTTCCAGTCTGTTTCATTGATTTCTTTATTCCCAGCCAGTCGATTGGACTTCCACTGTGCAGTGCACCACTGTGTCCCAGTTTAAAAGCCAGCTGTAAAACACAGACCTCATTTCAGGGTCCTCTTCTGGGACAAATATTTAATTTTGGCTCCTATTCCTACAGGAATTATTTATTGGCACCATCTACTCTCTAGTGAGTCTGCTCACTTCCACAGTCAAAGTCCAGCTAAGTGGATAATCTGCGCCATCCTCGTTCCCGTGTATCCTAGTTTTGAGAGAATTACACTGTTTTGGATTAACTGAGCAGAAATGACGTCCAACGGATCAAAAAAAGTGAATCCATTAAGATGTAATCAGTAGTGATACATCTCTATGGCTGATCTGTATAACACACAGTCAATGTCTAGTCTGACTATTTGTCCGGGTCATAAATCAGGCTGTTGTAAAACTGTTTCTAATGGAATCACTTCTCAATAAACTGTCAGCTGGTCCAAAAAAAGTAGAGTCCTGGTGAAGTAGGCTCTCTACGAAAACATGTGATAAAGCCTTACTACAAAATAGTGGTTGAGCTCAGCCTTAGAGATGGGGTGAGAAGTTAAGACAACATCCTGAGGGGGCTCAGAGTTGAGACACTCCTTCACATCCAAAGGAGGAAACAGAGGTGGTTTAAGGATGATAAGGATGTTTCCTGGGGGCCACCCTTTGGAGGTTTTCCAGGCATGTTCATATAAGATGAGACCCCTGGTTGGCCTGATTACAAACTCCATCTGGCCTGGGAATGCCCCAGAATCTCCTGTGAGGAGCAGGAAAATGTTGCTACACAGGGATGGCTGGGTTGACTTGTTCAGCCAGCTCCAACTGCTACCAGACCCCAGGTAAGCAGTAGATGGTTGAATAGAAACCTCATACAGTCTTTGAAGCAGTTGAAAGGCCTCCCAATAGACTCTTTACATGAGTGAACTATTTTTCGTGTTGATGTTCATGCAAAAAGCCCCTGCGGCCATACAGAAATGTATGGTAGCAAAGCAAAAATACAAGAGAACAGGCAACCACTTCTCTTTTTTGGTAACCTTGGCATCCTTATTTTACTATTAATGTTGAGGGAACAAATTTTCACAAACCTTTTCATCCCTGACAATGAACCCCTTCAAAGTAGCATCCAATTATCTAAAGGAGGAGACCAAGGATTGAGCTCTTTCTCCGTCTTTCAATGACACCAGGACCTGCTTTTATTCTTTCACAGGTTTTCTCAGCACCTTTTTACTCCAAACCGCAACAGATTTTTTCCCCTGATGATGTGGAATAAGGTCTTTTAGTCTTTATTACCCTAAGCTCAGGAATTCACAGCTCCCATTCTTCACTGTCAGCTGTATTCCCAGCTGTAGTCCTTGCCTTGTGTGACCGTCACTGTGACTTACAGGAAAATATCTGCAACTACAACAAAGTCTAGTCTAATTTTACATGGTTCTGCCTTATAGTCCACTAAACTAGAATTTCAAAGTTTAACAGCATCAAAATCACATTGGAAGATTCTCTGGGTTAGTTTAAGGTTTATCTTGCCAGTCATTATAATATAACTGAGATTGTTTAATGACTATTTTGCTGACACTTGCATTGAAGAAGATGTTTGGGGTAGATTTAAAAAGTTTTGACAGCTGATATAAGAGTGAAAACATGCATGTTCACACATTCAGCAGACACAGAACAACCTCTGTAAGAGTCTTTATCCTTCTAAGTCATATCATACAAGCCTGTGGGACTCCATCTCCGGTTTGGGCCAACCCCTCATAAGAAAAACAATATCACTGTATCTTTGGCTGAATCTTATCACCCCTTCCACTCATCAAACCAAAGAGCTCTAAACGGCAATGAGCTAAGGGTAGGTTGTAGGGATCATGAATAATATGACTGCTGTCTATCCTTGAGTTGAACCTTTTGGTTGCACAACAGTGGCCTCTAGATTTTTTTAGAAAGTTTTCCATATGGAAGTGAAAAATGAAACAGATGTTGTTGTAAAGGAATGTAATCTAACTGATTCAGCTTTACACTTATTGTCATTATTGATGCTTCAATCTGAGCTGAATCTTCTTCAAAAGACAGGCACCTTTGCCCCCTCTTTCTGCTGTGTCAGCATGACATGTGTTTTCTGCCCTCCTTTCTACTTAATTTCTTTCCACCAACCATCTACATAAATAAATGACCCGAGTCGTCAGCACAGACCCAGTAAACCCTCTCAGCAGCAGTCAGCACCAAGGGTGAAGAAGCGAGGAGCAGGAATGCAGACACAGCTGCCTCTCAGCTGGTGAACACGCTGTAAACAATAACATACTGAGAAATTACATACCTTACGACTTACAGCTATACACAACTTTAATGTGTCAAGATCAGTTTTCCCTCAACAAAAGTTAATGGTGTCCTCTGAAGCAAAATGCTCACTCAAACCTTCCAATGCAAAAAAAGACTGTCCAGATGTCGGACCAAAGTTGCCTCAGGCTTTTTGATTGAGCTTTTAAAGAGATCTGAATGATGAATCACTAAATGGGTTATTCATCTGTATGATTCAATTATATCACAGTGTATTAAGGGGTGGCAGCGACCAGCATCACAAATGTTAATAATTTTGGAAACAGCAGAGAGGAGTTCATAGTTGACATGACTGGAGTGGTATGAATCCTAATCACCATAATTTCTAAAGGCTCTTTGTTTTATCGCCTCTGTTAGACTGTGGCTGTTTAGACTGACAGACATACCAGCTGAGTTACCATGGCGACAGTGATGGAAATCCAGAAAGCTGGAATTAGGAAAAGTGTCTCCAGAAGAGGCTTAAATGACATTCATAGTGAGGTTTCACAGTTGTGATGAAAGATTGTTGGCAAAAACTGTACCATGGGGAATCCTGAGAGTTTTGCAAAAATGAATTCCACCACAGGGCCGACACAGAATTTACTGAAGTTTTCCCCTGGATATGCCTAACCTACTTTTTATTTGACTTAAGATCATTAAAAACCTACATCCATTTCTTTACTATCCCTTCTCGACCATTTTCACCCTCTCTGCTCCAAGATAGTCAAAACTATTATAACTGCAAAGCTGCATTCCTATATCTACCTATTTCAGAGTTTGACAGTATTTCAATCCAGAAAATGGAGATAAAGTGGTACATAAGCTGTGCTAATTAAAGTTGCAAACAACATATCGACCAGACCAGCATGTTACCAGCAGATCCACACTTAGCAAAACCTTCATTCTAGACTGTAACTTTTCCCTGTCTCTGGTAAATGTGTAATATTAAATCAGCTGTGGTGCAAATTTAGCAGTTAACAGCCAGAAACAATCACAACAAGCCAGTGGTCAGTGATGTCCCTGCTCAGCTCAGCTGTCAGTAATGTGTTTGCCACTATCCTGTATGTACTGCAGAAACTTATTTACACATATTGCAGTGACATGAAGTCAAAAACAGTCACTGAGACAGAGAGTGACTCTTATTTCTCCTTCTACAGGCTGTTCCCAAACATTTTTCAAACCAAACCATGAACCATGATATAGAAGCACTTGGTGGCATGATGGGCATGGGTATTTAAAAACCTGGAACACAAACATGTTGACCACATTGTAAAAGATTTGAGCCACCTCTTAAAGAAATGTGTGGTCCAGAAAACTACGGGACTCATGAGTCATTTGACCACAATTGTTTACAGGAATGACTTGTTAAGGTCTGAAAACAGCTGCCGAGTACGTTTGTGTTGTTTGGCTTTTTGATTTATTTATGTGACCTGGTAGGCTGTGAAATTGCCCTCCTGGGATAAACAAAACTGCCTGAACCTGAACCTGAACATTTTGACCAAACGCTAGGAGTCACTGGAGCAGCTAAAAAACAACTTTTTTCTGCAAACTAAACTCTTGTTTCTGCAGCACTAACACTTTACTCCATGTACCTGGTTTCCACAAACATTAGTTAAACTCAAACAAGCCTCTCCTTAAGGTTTCTGCCAAACTCATTTGGTGAACCGCTGACATAACAGGCTTTATCTGTGGATCTGAGCTGACACTTTCACCTTATACTGTGGTCTTTATACATTAAGAGGCTTATGTATTTATGCTTCATGTGATCTCCCCATGGGTTCATCAGTTTGTTCAGAACACTCAACCACCATGTCTAACCACATTTTTCCAACATATTATTTGCACTACTAAACAAATCTCAGCACGATCAGGATGAGACACATACGAATATGAAGTAAAATGACTATCTGAGAGGTGTAGTAAGAGTGAAAGCACATGTGAAAGGGAAATACAGAGTATTCTGTGCTGCAGAGAGACTATTATCTATATTTACACTGTGATCTGTACCCATAGGCAAAATACAAAGCTGGATTTGACCCTGATGAACTCCACTGTGGATGTCTGTGTTTGTATGTGTGGAAAGGAGTGTGGGCGGTAGTATCATCCACTGTAGATGTGCACTCAATCTTTGCCCCACTCCCCACTCACTGCTCTCTTATGTTTGTCCAGCAGTTCCACATTGTCTCATTCAGTGCAGGTAGAATAAAGCTTTACCAATGTTATAACACGGGCAAATGTAAATTCATATTCTGCTGGAAAGAATCTTGTTAATCACCAGTACAAGACAGCATGCCCTACCTGTGAGAAATAAACAAATCACATCACATTAGGAAACAGCACCAATGACAGAACATACTCCAAATGTGAGCTGACATTGCATTAGCATCCGAGAAATGAAGACACAGCTATTGTCAGCCTCATGTAAGGGAGTGTGATGTGGATAAAATTACGTAAGAAGATTCCATGACACTTCATCAAGTGTCTCAAGCAGGCAGCTACTGTTCCAGTGAGAAAATGGACCACCCCGACTCTCACTGCAGCGACACTGCACCGGCCTACATTGCTACAGCTTCACTACTGCAACTGTGAGGAGACTAAGACAGAAATCAAGAATGTGTTCATCCTAGGGTGTTTCTGTTTACTTAAAAAAATAAAATAAAGTCATCTTTCAATAAATGTTTTGTGACAGCTTGTTCATGTCTGTAGTTGGTAGACGGTAACAGAAAATATGAAGTGAACAAAATGGTTAGAAAAATTAGAATCTGACAGAGTGAGCGGGACCTCAACATATTGTATATCTCTGTTATGCTGTAATAGCAGTAAATGTAAATATCGTTGTTATGATTGCCAAACTATTAGATAGTTACAAGAAACTGAGTATCATTCATCAGCTGAAAATAAAGCTTGATAAAGGTTTTAACTGATTCTGATTGACCAAGTCATTGAGGGCCTGTGTCCACTGATAGCATTTTTTGAACTGGCAGCATAAATTTTCTCTATTTTTTAAATAAATGCAGTGTGGCATTTTCAATATTCAGAGTCCTTGGTGCAGAGTCCTTGTCATTGTTTTTCCTGTTGAATCCAGACAGTCTTGTTTTTGCCAGGACATTTCTAATGCTTTCTTTTCCTTGGAATAAAAGTTTACATAAAACATACAAACTTATTTATAACATCTAAACTAGTTTTAATGGTCGAAGGAAATGTTCTGCAAGACACTTTTAGCGACTTAGAAACAGTGAGTGCAGGTGAGAAGCCCTAAGTCCTAAGAGTGTCCCTTGTGTTGCTGTAAAGTATTTTTCTTTTGTTAATCCTTCATTAAGTTTGTTTCAATTTGCTGAAGCCAGAGATTATCTGACAATAAAGCCTCTTGTTTTACTCTTACACTATCAAAGCGGACAGTCAGAGACAGTCTGATAATTTAAAAAAAGACAGATGGAACAAAAAAGTGGAGTTTTTAGATGTAATACAGACTCAGGATGTTAGCATTTAAATATAATCTTCCACAGTGAACAATATTGTCTTAACCAACCATCCAGTCTTTACGTAACAAATACATACACACTCATACACAAAGCATAACACCCATCTGTCTCCATGCACTTATTACCTTGTCCCCAGGCCAACAAACAGGAAGTACATCCTATGTCCTCATTGCACAGCCTGCACACACACAGATGCATCCCTTCAATGGGATATGCACCTAATCTCAGCTGGAGGGGAAGAGGTAATGCTGGTAATGGTCCCTCTCTCCCATGTCTCTATTTCCTGGATGTTCATAAATTATTTCACATGACTCTTTCCTTTTTCTATCTCAGAGACCTCCCAAAAGGGAATCCACATAACCGAACACTTTTTATCCCAAAGAAGCCACAACAAAGCTCTCCCCTTTGCACTTTTTCACAATGAATCAAAGAATTCTCATCATACTTTGGTGAGAAAGTCACCGACTCTGAGAGAGTCTGGGCTGTGTGAATGCATTTGCAGCAGAGGAATGATTCATGCAGTGACAAAAGGAAAGAAGAGTTTCCCAACTCCACTGGAAACACACTACGGGCTTTGACACGGATTCAGAAAGTACAGTTTTTATAGATAGACACACACACACACACACACAGACAGACACACACATTGAGTAGAGTAAAAAAGCTTTCTGACAGGCAGTGAGCTCATGAGATCTGAATGTCTTCCTGCGATGAATGCATTTCTGTGGCTTTCTCACAACCATTTCTCTCTTTTTTTCTCTTTTTGTCTTCTCTTTTTTCACACTCTCACACAGCTTACTCTCCTGTGTGTTAATTCCTTTATCTGCTTCATTTGGACTGAATATGAGACACAAAAAAAGCTTAATTCTGGATTTAGTTTTCTTAATCTGTTAAGCTGTTGTGTGTTTTTCCTTCTCCAGGAATAGCAGGTTTTGGGTTGCTAGGTTGGCGATTCAGCCCTCGATTTAATGTGTGTGTGTGTGTGTGTGTGTGACGGTGTGTGTGAGAGAGCGTGCGGGTAAACACTGAGCTTGACAAATGGCCAGTAGTCTAAATCAGACTCAATTAAGATTTATGGTGGGTGAGGTGCCCTAGGGAGGGAATTCAGACAGTTTGAGTGTGGATGTGCGAGGATCTCTGTGTGTAAATGTGCACAATCTCTCTACATCAAATATTTCATTTTTGAATAACCTCACATTGGAGGGTAATAACTGAGACTTGTCAGAGCGTTCATATCTTCAAAAGATATCGACTTGTTTTATTCTTTACAAGTCTTAGCAGCTTACAGTTTACAGCAGAAGCTGCACCATAAACACTCTGAAAATGGCTTTCAGACGTCTTTCCGACCACATATGTGTGCCTGACATCACAGCAGCGTGGGCCTCCTTCATAATTGGAGTGCTTGCAGATATGTAATTGCTAACACACTCAACACAGCTGGAGTGCTACTTTGAATTACATGGAATTCACATCAGCATGAAGAAATAGGCATCTGCGTGGGGAAAAGCAGCATGTATACATGTTTGTGTTTGTATGTATGTTCTGATCTTTGCCGACATGTACAAAGGAATGACTTTTATCAAGTATGGAGCTCATTGATCAAAACCTGGAAATATATATAGGTATGAAGATTAGAAGAAGAGTTGCACATCATTAGTTATTAACTTATTAACTTATTTTGGCCAATTCTGGTATCAGTGCCTATATATGCACATCTTTTAGTTTATTGTAAAGAACACCAAGCCTTTCCTTTGTCAGACTTTACTTATCACTCCTTTGGTTGCAGTCTATGTGTTTCAGAGATGGAGAGAAACCAACAGATTTGAGTCTATCAAAAAGACAACTGTGATATTTTTTTAAATATAGACATTCAAAAATATGTTTGCTGAAATGTTCTGTCCATATGAAGTGCCAAAATGACAATTAACTTTTTAGCTGATATCTGCATTGAGTGTCTTCATCAAAGACACTCTATCAGGTGACAATAGGAGCTACCACTGAGCCACAGCTGCCCTACGTGCTGCCAACTACAACATTTATTGTTGCTGCCCTTCCAAGCCAGTTGGACCTCCAGTTGATAACTCCTGTCACAATGCGATAATGCACTACTTTGTGGATGTAAGCAAGCACCAATGACAAATGGCCTCTCATAGCATGAGGCGTGGCAGCATTTTGATCTAGAAAATGGAGATTAAGTTGTTCCTGGGCTGTGTCTGGTTAAACTGGTAGGTAAGGACTTTGACCAGCATGGAGTACCGAAGGCTAGTGGTGCTGACTATGATCCAGTGTTTAGCTGTGTTGATTAATCATGCTCAGTTTAGTGTTTTATGAGTGTTTTCTTACCTTTAGACGAGTTGACTACTCAAAATATGAATTTCCATTAAAACTGTCACTTCAGAACAACGACAAATAAAAGCAGTTGGAAGAAGCTCGGCGGTTAAATTTTAAGAGGTTTGGTTAAAATAAGTGACTGGTAAGATTAGAAGCTCGGCACAGAAGCCTAAGGTTTGAGGTGAGTTTAAAAGGAGGTTCCTCTTGGTAAATATATGTTTATGTATACCATGGTGTGCCTATGCTAGTGTCCACCCTCTTCAAAATAGACTATCATTTATCAACACAGTCTCCTTTTAGTGCTATCTGGGGGAGCATTTCTGCTGGTGTGTCAAGGGATACAAAGAGGTTCTCCAGTCCTCCCCCTCCTCATCTTTATCACCCTCCTCCCCCCAAGCGTCCCTTCCTCTCTCCCCAACCCCCTCCCCAGCCCTGGCACACTGCTCTTTCTGTGGTATCCAACCAAGAACAACTGGACCATTTCAAGGGTTGCTGTTGCTGCTTTCTAATCTGAGGGAATCCAAAAGAACAGTCCAAGCGACTTTCTCAAGGACAGCAGCTTGCTGTTAACAGTCGAACAGCTAAATGCTCAGAAATAACCTTGAATATGAAACAGAATTCAGCCCCCTGTGCGTGCCTTCATTTTCTAACAGCTCTGGCTGCAGGTTGTTTGGCAGGCGTAGGACCAGTTGACCCTTGCCGTCTGGAGAGGTCAGTACCTTGAACAGAGAAATCCCACTGTGACCATTATTCTCCTCCCTTGAGCCCTGTGGACTGAGAGCTAAACTTAAAGTGACAGGAAGGTAACTCAGGGCAACAATCAATGCTAGAGCTGGGCTCTCATGGCCTCTGTGTTGATGGAGGACAGTTAAGTGTTGGTTTATTGAACAAACAGACGGCTGAGAGTGTGACTGTATTTGCTCTTCAAACTCCATCTTATGTAAGGGAGCAGCTGGGGGCTGTCGGGTTTCATTTAGCTACTTCTGAAGGATGTCTTGTGGATTTAGACATAAACATTAACATGATTCTGGATCAAAACACAGCAGATTACCAGAGATAATCTTCCAATAATATTGCAGAATCTCAAACACTGCATAGTGGTTTGGTAGTAGTAATAGAAGTTATCTACCCACCTACACAGATGTCTGCCAACTCACATTCATGCCCTTCTACCCACGTTCACACACTCATGCACACAGACATACGCAGAGCAAATGAGAACAGGGGTAGTTATAATAATCCCATGTCGTGCCCCGATGCCTCGTTGGCAGTTTTTTGCCAAACCACTGAGAGCAGCATGCTGCACCTAGCAAAAAGCATCCTACTCCAGAGAAATTTTCCTTTTGATGTTTTGCTCATTTTCATGGCCCAGTCAAAGGATTTGTAGCAAGATTAATCTGCAGATTAGCTACAACAGCTGAGCTGATTTTCTTACTGTGAATTAAAAAAAGACCCCCTATAATAAAATTACTAAGCAAGTCACAAGAGCTGTGAGATTTTGATAGGAATAAATGGAAGTTCCTGACTGTAGTAAACTCAAATTTTATGAAACATGAATACATTCCCAGTGATTTAGGCAATTTATAGGATAGGTCCCACCAGTGTATCAAGAGCAGTGTGTATTTTGGGGGTCTCAAGGAGGGGAAATGGGTTAAACTGCCTTCCTGGGTTAGGGTTCACTTTATTTGGCAAAGTCTACCACATACAGTGTCTGCTGCTCTCTAATACCATCTGTTTTTGGAACCCTTCTAGCTAACTATTGGTTTGGTCTTTGAGCTCAGCCCATGGTCTTGAGTTAAAGGGCCTGTGTAACTAATACTACATAATTTGTTACCTTAAAATTGCCACTGTTGTCTATGGATGTTTTAAGACCAATACAACTAAATGAAGGAGAAAAGAAGTTAAAAAGTGGAGCTGCATCTAGCATCTTTACCAGCTGACTTAATGGGGCATGTATCACCTCAGTAGCTCAAGTCCATGCCTGAGCAGGTATTTTACAAATCATATTATGACATCAATTTGTCGTATTAAGATATTTGGAAGCAGTATATGGGATAAACCCCAAGCCAAAAAGAAATTATTGCCAGTGGACTAAAGTGTCAGCCTTAAAAAGCTAAAGAGCTTAAAGTCTAGTCTCGCAGCCAAGGCAGGCCGTGTTTGAAAGCAAAGGCCACGGATTGAAACATGCAATGACCCATTTTCACTGTCAGCCGCCTGTCAGAGAGGCGGCTGGTGGATCCTCTCTCTATATGTTGATCCGTCTGTCTCGATTAAAAACACACACATATAACAGTTCTTCGGTTTATCTGTTTCTGGTGTGCATGATTTCTCTATGTTGGAGACACACATGAACACATTATTTCCATCACTGAACGTCTTAAATCAACAAGTAATCTGGCAAGTAGTGTTCTAAGGTAAAAATGATACCCTTTGTAAAATCACAACTTTTAGAGCTCCCCCTGGTGAATAGCTGCAGCAAATGTGTTACAGCAGGTAACACTGCTTCATTCAGGTAGGTGGAACATGAGTCAAACTAGAAAAATAAAATATGCATCAATGAAATATGTCTTACATTTGCTCTCTGCAGTAGTTAAAGCTAACTTCTCAGACAAGCTCAGGTTTCATTGGTTAGAATAAAGAGATGTGGTGGTTTGATTGACAGCTCTCTTATAAGTGTGGGCTCCTGCACTGTGCTTGACAGAATAGAAAATGAAGGGTGACAGAAAACGTGACAAATAAAAACACAAGAGTGACTGAACTTTGCACAGTCTGGTAATAACCAACACAAGAATCCTCTCTGTTGTGGACTGAACTGACCAGAGGGCTACCTGACTTTTTGATGTTTTGTTTTTGTTAGCATGTGGTCAATGACGAATACCAGCACTCCCCTAAGTCTGTCACCAGAGGAATATGCTAATACCAATGAAGGCAGCATTTAGGCTTCATTTTTAACAATAAAGATGGAAACAATTAATAGTCAGTCTTGTGTGTTAATAACTTATTCTTGAGAAAACTGTAACACAACTTCTACCAGGGGTTAGTCATGATCCTGTGAAGACAATTTACATGCTTTCATTTTAATTCCCCTCAAAGTGTAAAATCTGGACTCATGTCCTTTAAGAACCATTAAGTTAGAAGTAAAAAGGCTCAACAAATCTCAAATATGCTGTTTTTGGGGTAAAATCCTTGGTTTTTGTTTTAAAGGTCCCATGGCATGCCAATTTCACACAACTTAAAATAGTCCCCTGGTGTGTTAAAAGCATGTCTGTGACGTCCTTCGGTCGATTTGGATCAATTATTATCAGCTAGAAACAGCTCCGCTCAAAATCCTCCGTTTTGGGCTATGTCTCTTTGAAATGAGCTGCACCTAAGCCAGGTCCACTTTACACCCATCTCTCTGGAAGGGGCTGTGGCTGTGCTCCGATAGCCATGTGCTAATGTTTACACTGGCTCGGTCATGGCTGCAAGAAGATCGCTCGTACAACCCTACCAGTTTGAGCCAGAGTCTGACCCAGAGGGAGAGGCTCCGGAAGAAACTCAGACCAAACGCGACTTGAAGCGACCTAGTTGACACATCCTGTGTATTATTCAAAGCCGCCAGGAGGGTCACGCTTAGCCGGGACGTCCCGTATTTGAGCCAAAAGAGGCGCGTCGCCGCACAGGTAAATGCTAAAGCTACATGCTGCTCCGGAGGGGGATTTTGTCCCCCGCCGCCGGAGTTGTCGGGGAAGAAGCGAGCGGCTAAAATACAGGAGGATCCGGTAAACCGGCGCGGATCCGGTGTGTTTATCAAAGCGTGGTGGCCGTGCTGAGGCACCGGGGGGAATTTAGGCTAAACAGTAAGTCAAAATAAAACGTTCATACTTACAGACGCCACGTTTGTAGTAGGATCACGGATAGTTGGTACGGATCCCTTCTTTATCTTCAGACATCTAGCAAATCCAGCGTTGAACTGTCCCTCGTTGATAAAACAGTCCGGAGTGAAATGGTGCCCACATACATACAGATATTTTTGAAGTGCCGCGGGTACATTCCCATTATAAATAAAATCCACCCATTGAGTCCTCAAATCCTCCGACGAGGGAGTTTTCAAAAGAGTTTTGTGCTCGTTTGTGCAGCCAACAACAGAGCAAACGCTGCCTCTTTTTCAGATCGTACTTCCGCCATTGTTCTAACCGGAGCAACGTGAGCGAGCGGCTTAAAAAACGAAGTAGTTTTCCGCTTTATATTGTTGCAACTCGAGCTAGTTGCTGTCAGGGGGTGCATTCTACGGCGGGGGTGCTTTCTACGGCACAACACCGGGAGTAGTGGCGCTGTTCTGATAATTTTTTGGGCAGGTCAGTGGGCAGCTCCATGGGCAGTACCATCAACCCGCCAGCACTGCCATGACGTCATGTCAGTGGAGTTTTCAGAACGGCTCTGAGCACACAGTTCCTAAATACGGAGATAACTAAAAAACGACTGGATGGAATTTTTTCGAACTTGGGGGGATTGTAGCGGTTTTCTATCCCTGATATGCACCCCCTCCCGTTAACAAAGTCAGTTCAGTTTTAATGCTTGTTGATAAAAAATGACTTCAAAATGAGCCCTTTATTTCCCTCCATGATAATCACAGACTAACTATAACACTATTAATTGAGTTTGATTAGGTGTGCATAGTTGTAAATGAGACAATCCAGATGTTTACACCTCCTTTAAATACACTGATGAGTGTGATGCTTTCTTGTTTGATTGGTGCCAGTAAGCCACAAAGATTGTGTAAAATATGTCAAACGTAAAGACAGCTATGCTGGTATGCATATTCTTGCCTTTTGAATGCCTGTCTACTTACTGTAAATCTACCCTGTCATGTTAGAAGGTTAGGCCAGAACATATAAATCTTGGTGTGATACTGAGTAGGACTTGCAGGGCCTGTCTCTCCTGAATATTGTCAGTGTGTATCTCTATGCTGTTGGGTAGCAGACTGTTTAGCCCCGTCAGCAGAGAAGCTCTTGTCCTGCCTCTCTCCCAAGGTGACTTCTCTGCTGTTGGCAGGCAAAGCCATGAAAACAGCTCCCCAGACTCTCTCGCTTTCTGCTTCTCCCACACACCCATCATCTTTCAGAAACCACTGGGTAATGTGCTTTTATACCTTTTTCTTTTACAGAGATGTCAAAGCACATTTTTGTCCTTCTTTCTATTCCTCCCTCCTCCCTCGTCCTGTCATTTCCATAATTGCAGGTAAGAGTCACATTTCAAGCCAGAAAATCATGATTGTGTTCATTAAAATTCTCTTTCTTTGCCTTTGGCCTTGTCTACAGTCAGATTTAGAGTCTGGCTAAAAGCCAATACAGGCGCACCTGACCTTTTCCTCTTCCAGTTCTCGTAGTGGAGAACGTCCACCAACGCAGCGGCACACACACCTCCCACACATCTCTCTCACTCTCAAGCAGGAAATTTGTAGTTGGAAAGCAATCGTCTGTGATTTTGCGTGGTTTTGCTGTAGAAATGCAGCCTGGAAATACTGCCCACACCATTCTGTATTAACAGAACTTGTATGTGGAAGTTGCAGGTGTGCGGCCATAAGTGTGAGTAAATAGGCCATTGTCCTGTGACTACAGTAGGTCATCTATTTTAGTCCAGGTTAATTCTCTACATGGGAGTGAGTAAGTGTGCTGATTTCCTCTGTGAGTCTGTCCTCCTGTCTCCCTCTCTCTTTGTGTGTGTGTGTCTCTCTCTCTCTCTGTCTGTTAATTGATTAAGAGGATTCAACTGGCTGCAGCGGGGTTAAGCACTGACTCTGACCACCAAGGCACACCTGGGTGCACACAAACAGCCACACAAGCAGGCTGACACGCCTACGTTTGAGACACAACAGAAACAAGATAGTTGTTTCCACATGCATGAAAAGTGCACTGATTTGTCCATATTCCAAGGGCATTTCCAAAATCCTAACAACACTTCTATTTGCATCCAATTATTCCACGATTGATTTCAAGCCAAACAAAAAAACAAGTCCAGCCCCAAAAGTTTGGCACTTTGCTCCATGCAAACCCTCTTGCCATTTGACTTTTAAACAGTGTATTACATTTGCAAGCAGTTATTTGCTTTAAGATGATTAGACAATGTTCAAGCCATATTAAATCAAGGAGTAGCCATATTATGACTGAAGCAAGTTTGAAGTGAAGTTCTGCAAAATGTGCCATCCCCAGAATTTGCATATCGTAATTGTCAGCTTTCTAGTTAATTAGCATTATAAATCACTCTCTATCAAAAGGCACAGCACAGCTTTATGGGGTGTGCTTTCCTCCCTGCAGCTGCTCGAAAACCTAACAGTTCTCAAATTCTTATTAATGACACATTAATGAAACACTTTAAGGAATAAAAAACCTGCCAATGTGAGATCTGTTAATAATCCTACAGTGTTAATATCATCAGAACTTAATGAAGCTGTTAAGAATTGAAATGCACAGGCCTGACACTGAATGATCACTCTTATTACAAAGTGTCACCCGACTAAAGTTTATCAGAACCCAACATATAACAAGAGCATTTTCTGAATATTTGAGGAAAATTGTCTCTACACTGTTTTATTCTGCGTGTTTGGGAAACATTTTTGCAGAATTATAAATTGGGTGTCACTGTGACTGAAATGCATTGTATATGTAACACATTCATGCCATCACACATCAGCCCAGCAGCATCCTGATAACCTTGCCCTAACTGGCAACTCCAACTCTCCTTAAAAACTCATCTTCACTCCTCAACAAGCAGCTCAAATTACCCCACAGTCCAATCCGACCCCCAATTACCAGTGACATGCTGAAAAGTTGTTCCCCATCCAGAGCGGTCTTACCTTTGTGACAGTCATGCAGAATCAGTGGGTGAGGAGCAGGCCAGTGTCCTCTTCAAGCAGAGAGCAACGCCGCAGGAGTGGCAGAGTGATGAGGAGGAGAGGAGGGCAGCTCTGCTGAATATGCAGAGAGAGAGAAAAGAGGAGGGGACAGACAGGTTAGTGTGTCTGGCTCACTAAGTACGGAGGGGCCGATTGCTGCTGCAGTGAAGTAATGGCTGGCAGTCGGCGTGCGGTTGGTTACTACAACAGGGAAAAGCTCCTCGCTAGGATACACCCCTCCCTCCTCCCTTCCCGGCTGCACACACGCAAAGACACACAGGCTTACACACACACAGTGATAATGATGCACAGAGTCTAGCTGCCCTACTCTCTCACTCTCTGTCTCCTACAATATGATTAGTGATGGGCTAATACAGCTTATTGATGAGCAGTCAGGCTGGGCTGCAGGAGGAGGTGGGAGCAACGCTGCCTGGGACAGCAGAGGAGAGGACTGCAGAAACAGAGAGAGGAAAGGAGGGAGGGCGGGAGTTGGACACTGTGTCGCAGTCTGCTACTCGGGCTCGGAGCTAGCTGAACGTCATCTGGTGTGTTAAGATGTGTGTGTGTGTGAGTGAGTGACATAGGCATTGATGGGAGATGGCAAGAGCATTTTTTATTCCAGAACCTTTTAAACTCCACTGAATCTGCTTATCTCTTTAAGAGAAATCATCCAGGAAAGAGTCACAAGGAAACACTAGGAATAGACAAGGGAAAAGTTGCAAAGTTGACCCTTTGTGAACACTTTTTGACAGTGTTTCCCTCTTTGCTTGTGACCCTTCCTCCTGGTGCAGTCTTTAGTCTAACCATCTAACTAGTAAGTCCCAACAAATAAAAATGACAGTATTGTGATCTGACCAGGGATTGGTGAAATCAATTTCTTGATACTACAACCGCAGTTATGTTTTTTTGTTTGTTTGTTTGTTTTTTAAGTCAACACTCTTATAAAAATTGGAAATTAAAAACTGTTGATATCGCAGATGGTCTTGAGCTACGTGACGCCATTTTATCTTGGATGGTGGTATGTGTATATGTGTACATATGTCTATATATGTGTGAATATGTGTATATATTTTTTTCTGTATTTTCATAATTTCGTGAATACAGAGCACTTATTTGTAACATGTTAATGTTCTAAAAACATCTATGAAATCTTTGTTAAAATAAATAAATATACAGTTGATCCTTTTTTCCAGGCCTGAATATAATTTGTTGGATGGGAACAAGTTATACTTTTATTATTTTGCATTGATTGGTCACGTCAATTTTAACAGAAATGACTTTTAAATATCTTATTTGGGGTCAACGAAATATTAATACACAAGTACACTTTGTATAAACTGTGTGAAACATCTGTTATTCCATTACTGAACAATATGGCACTCTTGTCAGATCCCCCTTTCAATTTGACTCACCATGACATTACTTAATCACTTCTTGAAGTAGCAATAACAACAGATGGATAGAAATTAAGATATTTTAGTAATATCTGTCTAATTCTGGACTGGAAGACTCCCCTGCTCACCCCTGCTCCTGTGCCTTTAAGGACAAAAAGCTTCTGTGACGCATGATGTATGATTCTCCACTTGCCAAGGTCTAATTACCAGAGATGTCTCTTAGCGCATTTTCTTTTGCACATAACCACAACCCCATTCTTTTTCTCTGTTTTCAAGTCAGCAGGACACCCACTCACATCATAAGATATGCAGTTACCAGTTTATCTTTTCTATTTGGCTTATTCTCAGTCAACAAACATAATAAATAAAAACAAATTTTAATCTAGATGATTTTCCCCTGATTTAAACGTTTTCATAGATATTGTGCTCTATTTCTATTGAGTCTTTATTGCTAAATGCCAATAAAACGTCCCTGTAATCCTCCACTCTACCTCCGAAGGCAAAGTGCAGGGTCTTTCAGTCATTACTATCATGTACTTGATTGTTATCTACCCTTTGATTCCCACAAGTCATACACTGATTTCAGCCCTTTATACTGCCTAAGTTTGATGTGTAATAATGCTCTATGACATTCTGAGTGAAACCAGAATGAGTGTAATATTTTCATTTTTCTAGAACTATTCTTATCTCTTCCTTTGTGACTATAGTAGCACAAAAGCACCCACACACTCAAACAGTAACACATCTCTGTCATACTAATTTTGTCGATTGCGGGATACGAGACACAAGCCAAGATTCCAGCTCAGTTACCATGGATAGCTTAGCTTCTCATGGCTGTGTGAGACTCCTGTCTAGTAGCAGCAAACCACAATACTTGCTTTGTTGAGTGCATTTATGTGTGTGAACTGTAAGTGTCTGCACATGCTGGAGTAAATGTCACCGAGGCACACAAGGACAGGCTGTGCCTGTTCTGTGTGATGTGACAGAAAGTGTTCATAGCAGGTGGGAAATTATGTTTTTCTGTCTTTGCTTTACTCAAACTCACTTAAACTGCCATTCTGTGGTCACTTTGCTCCTAAATTTCTGTCTTGAGGAGCGTCATGTGAGGCCCCACTCTTAGTATTTCCTGTCTACAACAATAGTATTTCCTCTGTCTGTTTGCATGTTATGGGCTGGTGGGGGTTTCTCTAAGTCTATATGAGAACATATGTGAAATAGTACTGTTGAGAATGTTAAACATTTATGGTTGCTTCCAAAAACTTGAGGAGCTATAAATATACACTTTAAATCACAACCCAAAGGTGTGATGTGTCAACTCATGTTAAAATTTACACAAGAAATATGGTCATTTTCAAAATGTGCATGAGACTGATTAACTGTGAAACTTACATGTTGTGCCATCCCACAGAGCCTTTGAAGTCAAAACCTCCAGGATGTTGGAAATACGTAATCATCCCCATTAACATCATGAGGAAAGCTTGAGAGAAACAGACATCATCCATTGGGTGGAGCTGGCAAACACAGGAACCTGTAGACCAGGAGGAGCCACCATGTCTCACATGTTCCACCAGATGTTTGCATGTTCCTGTTAAAGAAGAATGGTTGAGGAGGGAAGAGAGTTTCTTTTATTATTCATAATAAAAGTTAATATGATTTTAATATTTATTGTTATTCATGAAACAATTAACACCAACGGTCACCATCTGGCTAGGCTTTATGCTTTAGATTTCATTCTGTTCCAGTGAATTATGAGGAGTCTGTTTTGCATTAGGGAGTTTCATTTCCTTCTTGTTTACTATTCTGACCCTCTGACAGCGCCTTAACCTGGAACAAACCACAATACATAACAATCTGCTGCCATCTTGTGGTTACCTTTTATTACTACAAGAAGTTTTGTTTTAGTGTTAACAATTGAGTTTCAAAAATGATTTTTAACAAGATTATTAAGTCATGACTTTGTTATTCCTCTAAGCTAAAATGGTGGACAGTAAGAAGGAGTTATCTTATTTGTGTTTGTACATTTTAAGTGACATAGTTGATAGATAAAGACAAGGCTAAGCATTATTTCGATGTGATTAGAGCAACAACATTGCTCACACCGATGAAAAGAACATCCTTCTAGCCGGAGTTGAATCAGCGACCTTAGGATCACAGCAATTTCTATCGGAAACATCCTACAGTCCTCCGCTCTATCAACTGAGCTATCCAAGGGTGCTCTATGAACACAACTGCAGAAAACACAGTGGCTGACTGTTACGACCCGGCCTAGGGGTATGCTGGACATAACATAAAGTGCTCCTTCCTTTGCCCCAAATCCCCAAGAAAACCTACAATCAACCAGAATTTGCAGTCTTAAATTAATTTATTGTTTAACATAAATGGTAGTCAACTTCAGGGTGGGCACAGGCCAAAACAACAAACAAAACTTCTTTTATTTAAAGCTATCTTACCTAACAAACAAAATTACAGTAAATAAAATACAGGGGGTCTTACCTGCCTCCCTAACCCAAAACACGAGAAAAGTCTGTGAAAGCAAATAGCTGCCCACCCCTACCTACCAGATTGCTCTTAAAACAACTTAAACTATTTGTCATGAAGACAAATCAAAATTCACAAAGTTTCCACGATTTTAACACAAAAGAGCCTCCACAAAACACAGGTCTGGCTGGGAGTCGAGACAAAGGAAATGAGAGAGAGAGCTCCTCCAGCAGTCACCCTTTTCACAGCTTCCCTCCTCAGCTGCTGTCCAATCAGACCAGAGTCCTCTCCTGAAAAATAAAACAGACACAGGAACACCACCTACCTCAGGTAGGGAGGGTTACCCACAAACAAAATGTGCTGCTGAAAAAAAGAAACAGGAAACATATGACCCAAGGTCATAATACTGACGCAACACACTATGCCCACACAACTCTTTGACCCCATGGAAAATCAAAAGCCCAGCCCTACCTGCAGAACAAAGCTTTGCAATTTGTACCCAACAGTCATTGCCAAGGACCCAGAACTGATAATCAGGACCTTGAGGCTGGGCTTTTGATTGACATGGCCAATCAAAAGCCCAGTCCTACCTTCAGGACAGAGCTTAACAGTTTGTACCCAAGAGTCATTGCCAAGGACCCAGAACTGATAATCTGGACTTTTAGGCTGGGTGACTAAAATAAATGATGGTTGGAAAATAAAGTAGGAGTTATATTGTTTGTGTTTTTACATTTTAGAGGAGTTGACAAATGAAGAAAAGGCTTGGCTTTTTTTCAATGTGATTAGAGCTACAACATTGCTCACGCCAACAAAACACTGGTGCTTCGAGCTGGAGTTGAACTAGCAAACTTTGCAATGCAGCTCTTCATACAAGGAATGTCTTACAGTCCTCTGCTCTACCAACTGAGCTATGAAGGAGCTTATAGTCACAAGTGCAGAGAACATAGTGGCTACGACCACACACTTTGCCAACACAACTATTCAACCTACATGGTCAATGAAAAGCCCAGCCCTACCTGCAGAACAAAGTTTTGCAGTTTGTACCCAACAGTCATTGCCAAGGACCCAGAACTGATAATCAGGACTTTAAGGCTGGGTGAAGAAAAAATTTATGATTTGAAAATTAGGCAGGAGTAATCTTGTTTGTGTTTTGACATTTTGGAGGAGCTGACAGATGAAGTAGAGGCTTGAACATTGCACACACCAATTAAATCTTGTGCTTGGAGCTGGAGTTGAACAAGCCACCTTATGATCCGAGCCTTTCATATGTGCAACTTCAGACAATCGTCTGTTCTACCAACTGAGCTACAAAAGAACTTATAGTCACAAGTGCAGAGAACATAGTGGCTACGACGACACACTTTGCCAACACAACTAGTCAACCCACATGGTCAATGAAAAGCCCAGCCCGACCTGCAGAACAAAGCTTTGCAGTTTGTACCCAACAGTCATTGCAAGGGACCCAGAACTGATAATCAGGACCTTGAGGCTGGGCTTTTGATTGACATGGCCAATCAAAAGCCCAGTCCTACCTTCAGGACAGAGCTTCACAGTTTGTACCCAAGAGTCATTGCCAAGGACCCAGAACTGATGATCTGGACTTTTAGGCTGGGTGACTAAAATAAATGATGGTTGGAAAATAAAGTTATAGTGTTTGTGTTTTTACATTTTGGAGGAGTTGACAAATTAAGACAAGGCTTGGCTTTTTTCAATGTGATTAGAGCTACAACATTGCTCACACCAACAAAACTGGTGCTTTGACCTGGACTTGAACCAGGAAACTTTGCATGACAGCGTTTTATAAGAGTCCCCTGCTCTAACAACTAAGCTATGAAGGTGATAATTGACACAACCGCAGAAAACATAGTGGCTGAGACGACACACTTTGCCAACACAACAGTTCTAGATACATGGTCAATGAAAAAGCTTGAAAAGTGCATACACCAATGAAATCTGGTGCTTTGAGCTGGAGTTGAAGGAGCGATGTTCGCATGACAGCGTTTCATACGTGGAACTTCTTACAGTCCTCTGCTCTACCAACTGAGCTATGAAGGTGCTTATAGATTCAACCGCAGAAAACATAGTGGCTGAGACGACACACTTTGCCAACACAAGTATTTAAGCTACATGGTCAATGAAAAAGCTTGAAAAGTGCATACACCAATGAAATCTGGTGCTTTGAGCTGGAGTTGAACCAGCAATGTTCACATTAGAGCGTTTCATACAGGGTACTGCTTACAGTTCTCTGCTCTGCCAACTGAGCTATGAAGGTGCTTATGGACACAACCGCAGAAAACATAGTGGCTGAGACGACAAACTTTGCCAACACAACAATTAAAGCTACATGGTCAATGAAAAAGCACATACACCAATGAAATCTGGTGCTTTGAGCTGGAGTTGAACCAGTGATGTTGGCATCACAGCGTTTCATAAAAGAAAGTTCTTACAGTCGTCTGCTCTACCAACTGAGCTATGAAGGTACTTATAGATACAACCGCAGAAAACATAGTGGCTGAGACGACACACTTTGCCAACACAACAATTAAAGCTACATGGTCAATGAAAAAGTTTGAAAAGTGCAAACACCAATGAAATCTGGTGCTTTGAGCGGGAATTGAACCAGTGATGTTCGCATCATAGGGTTTCTTACTAGGAACTTCTTACAGTTCTCTGCTCTACCAACTGAGCTATGAAGGTGCTTATAGACAAAACCGCGGAAAAACATAGTGGCTGAGACGACACACTTTAACAACACAAGTATTTAAGCTTAATGGTCAATGAAAAATTTTGAAAAGTGCATACACCAATGAAATCTGGTGCTGTGGGCGGGAGTTGAACCAGCGATGTTCGCATCACAGAGTTTCATACTAGGAACTTCTTACAGTCCTCTGCTCTACCAACTGAGCTATAAAGGTGCTTATTGACACAACCGCAGAAAACATAGTGGCTGAGACGACACACTTTAACAACACAAGTATTTAAGCTGAATGGTCAATGAAAAAGCTTGAAAAGTGCATACACCAATGAAATCTGGTGCTTTGAGCAGGAGTTGAACCAGCGATGTTCGCATCACAGCGTTTCATAGTAGGAACTTCTTACAGTCCTCTGCTCTAACAACTGAGCTATGAAGGTGCTTATAGATACAACCGCAGAAAACATAGTGGCTGAGACGACACACTTTGCCAACACAACAATTAAAGCTACATGGTCAATGAAAAAGTTTGAAAAGTGCAAACACCAATGAAATCTGGTGCTTTGAGCGGGAATTGAACCAGTGATGTTCGCATCATAGGGTTTCTTACTAGGAACTTCTTACAGTTCTCTGCTCTACCAACTGAGCTATGAAGGTGCTTATAGACAAAACCGCGGAAAAACATAGTGGCTGAGACGACACACTTTAACAACACAAGTATTTAAGCTTAATGGTCAATGAAAAATTTTGAAAAGTGCATACACCAATGAAATCTGGTGCTTTGAGCGGGAGTTGAACCAGCGATGTTCGCATCACAGAGTTTCATACTAGGAACTTCTTACAGTCCTCTGCTCTAACAACGGAGCTATGAAGGTGCTTGTAGACACAACCGCAGAAAACATAGTGGCTGAGACGACACACTTTGCCAACACAACAATTAAAGCTACATGGTCAATGAAAAAGCTTGAAAAGTGCATACACCAATGAAATCTGGTGCTTTGAGCAGGAGTTGAACCAGCGATGTTCGCATCACAGCGTTTCATAGTAGGAACTTCTTACAGTCCTCTGCTCTAACAACTGAGCTATGAAGGTGCTTATAGACTCAACCGCAAAAAACATAGTGGCTGAGACGACACACTTTGCCAACACAACAATTAAAGCTACATGGTCAATGAAAAAGCTTGAAAAGTGCATACATCAATGAAATCTGGTGCTTTGATCGCGAATTGAACCAGTGATGTTCGCATCACAGAGTTTCATACTAGGAACTTCTTACAGTCCTCTGCTCTACCAACTGAGCTATGAAGGTGCTTATAAACCCAACAGCAGAAAACATAGTGGCTGAGACGATACACTTTGCCAACACAACAATTAAAGCTACATGGTCAATGAAAAAGCTTGAAAAGTGCATACACCAATGAAATCTGGTGCTTTGAGCGGGAGTTGAACCAGCGATGTTCGCATCACAGAGTTTCATACTAGGAACTTCTTACAGTCCTCTGCTCTAACAACGGAGCTATGAAGGTGCTTGTAGACACAACCGCAGAAAACATAGTGGCTGAGACGACACACTTTGCCAACACAACAATTAAAGCTACATGGTCAATGAAAAAGCTTGAAAAGTGCATACACGAATGAAAACTGGTGCTTTGAGCGGGGGTTGAACCAGCGATATTCATCACAGCGTTTGATATGAGGAACTTCTTACAGTCCTCTGCTCTAACAACGGAGCTATGAAGGTGCGTTCAAGACAAAACCGCAGAAAACATAGTGGCTGAGACGACACACTTTGCCAACACAACAATTAAAGCTACATGGTCAATGAAAAAGCTTGAAAAGTGCATACATCAATGAAATCTGGTGCTTTGAGCGGGAATTGAACCAGTGATGTTCGCATCACAGAGTTTCACACTAGGAACTTCTTACAGTCCTCTGCTCTACCAACTGAGCTATGAAGGTGCTTATAGACTCAACAGCAGAAAACATAGTGGCTGAGACGATACACTTTGCCAACACAACAATTAAAGCTACATGGTCAACGAAAAAGCTTGAAAAGTGCATACACCAATGAAATCTGGTGCTTTGAGCGGGAGTTGAACCAGCGATGTTCGCATCACAGAGTTTCATACTAGGAACTTCTTACAGTCCTCTGCTCTAACAACGGAGCTATGAAGGTGCTTGTAGACTCAACCGCAGAAAACATAGTGGCTGATACGATACACTTTGCCAACAAAACAATTAAAGCTACATGGTCAATGAAAAAGCTTGAAAAGTGCAAACACCAATAAAAACTGGTGCTTTGAGCGGGAGTTGAACCAGCGATGTTCGCATCACAGAGTTTCATACTAGGAACTTCTTACAGTCCTCTGCTCTACCAACTGAGCTATGAAGGTGCTTCTAGACTCAACCGCAGAAAACATAGTGGCTGAGACGACACACTTTGCCAACACAACAATTAAAGCTACATGGTCAATGAAAAAGCTTGAAAAGTGCATACACCAATGAAATCTGGTGCTTTGAGCGGGAGTTGAACCAGCGATGTTCGCATAATAGCTTTTTATATGAGGAACTTCTTACAGTCTTCTGCTCTACCAACTGAGCTTTGAAAGTGATAATTGACACAACCGCAGAAAACATAGTGGCTGAGACGACACACTTTGCCAACACAACAGTTCTAGATACATGGTCAATGAAAAAGCTTGAAAAGTGCATACACCAATGAAATCTGGTGCTTTGAGCTGGAGTTGAAGGAGCGATGTTCGCAAGACAGCGTTTCATACGTGGAACTTCTTACAGTCCTCTGCTCTACCAACTGAGCTATGAAGGTGCTTATAGATTCAACCGCAGAAAACATAGTGGCTGAGACGACACACTTTGCCAACACAAGTATTTAAGCTACATGGTCAATGAAAAAGCTTGAAAAGTGCATACACCAATGAAATCTGGTGCTTTGAGCTGGAGTTGAACCAGCAATGTTCACATTAGAGCGTTTCATACAGGGTACTGCTTACAGTTCTCTGCTCTGCCAACTGAGCTATGAAGGTGCTTATGGACACAACCGCAGAAAACATAGTGGCTGAGACGACAAACTTTGCCAACACAACAATTAAAGCTACATGGTCAATGAAAAAGCACATACACCAATGAAATCTGGTGCTTTGAGCTGGAGTTGAACCAGTGATGTTGGCATCACAGCGTTTCATAAAAGAAAGTTCTTACAGTCGTCTGCTCTACCAACTGAGCTATGAAGGTACTTATAGATACAACCGCAGAAAACATAGTGGCTGAGACGACACACTTTGCCAACACAACAATTAAAGCTACATGGTCAATGAAAAAGTTTGAAAAGTGCAAACACCAATGAAATCTGGTGCTTTGAGCGGGAATTGAACCAGTGATGTTCGCATCATAGGGTTTCTTACTAGGAACTTCTTACAGTTCTCTGCTCTACCAACTGAGCTATGAAGGTGCTTATAGACAAAACCGCGGAAAAACATAGTGGCTGAGACGACACACTTTAACAACACAAGTATTTAAGCTTAATGGTCAATGAAAAATTTTGAAAAGTGCATACACCAATGAAATCTGGTGCTGTGGGCGGGAGTTGAACCAGCGATGTTCGCATCACAGCGTTTCATACTAGGAACTTCTTACAGTCCTCTGCTCTACCAACTGAGCTATAAAGGTGCTTATTGACACAACCGCAGAAAACATAGTGGCTGAGACGACACACTTTAACAACACAAGTATTTAAGCTGAATGGTCAATGAAAAAGCTTGAAAAGTGCATACACCAATGAAATCTGGTGCTTTGAGCAGGAGTTGAACCAGCGATGTTCGCATCACAGCGTTTCATAGTAGGAACTTCTTACAGTCCTCTGCTCTAACAACTGAGCTATGAAGGTGCTTATAGACTCAACCGCAAAAAACATAGTGGCTGAGACGACACACTTTGCCAACACAACAATTAAAGCTACATGGTCAATGAAAAAGCTTGAAAAGTGCATACATCAATGAAATCTGGTGCTTTGATCGCGAATTGAACCAGTGATGTTCGCATCACAGAGTTTCATACTAGGAACTTCTTACAGTCCTCTGCTCTACCAACTGAGCTATGAAGGTGCTTATAAACCCAACAGCAGAAAACATAGTGGCTGAGACGATACACTTTGCCAACACAACAATTAAAGCTACATGGTCAATGAAAAAGCTTGAAAAGTGCATACACCAATGAAATCTGGTGCTTTGAGCGGGAGTTGAACCAGCGATGTTCGCATCACAGAGTTTCATACTAGGAACTTCTTACAGTCCTCTGCTCTAACAACGGAGCTATGAAGGTGCTTGTAGACACAACCGCAGAAAACATAGTGGCTGAGACGACACACTTTGCCAACACAACAATTAAAGCTACATGGTCAATGAAAAAGCTTGAAAAGTGCATACACGAATGAAAACTGGTGCTTTGAGCGGGGGTTGAACCAGCGATATTCATCACAGCGTTTGATATGAGGAACTTCTTACAGTCCTCTGCTCTAACAACGGAGCTATGAAGGTGCGTTCAAGACAAAACCGCAGAAAACATAGTGGCTGAGACGACACACTTTGCCAACACAACAATTAAAGCTACATGGTCAATGAAAAAGCTTGAAAAGTGCATACATCAATGAAATCTGGTGCTTTGAGCGGGAATTGAACCAGTGATGTTCGCATCACAGAGTTTCATACTAGGAACTTCTTACAGTCCTCTGCTCTACCAACTGAGCTATGAAGGTGCTTATAGACTCAACAGCAGAAAACATAGTGGCTGAGACGATACACTTTGCCAACACAACAATTAAAGCTACATGGTCAACGAAAAAGCTTGAAAAGTGCATACACCAATGAAATCTGGTGCTTTGAGCGGGAGTTGAACCAGCGATGTTCGCATCACAGAGTTTCATACTAGGAACTTCTTACAGTCCTCTGCTCTAACAACGGAGCTATGAAGGTGCTTGTAGACTCAACCGCAGAAAACATAGTGGCTGATACGATACACTTTGCCAACAAAACAATTAAAGCTACATGGTCAATGAAAAAGCTTGAAAAGTGCAAACACCAATAAAAACTGGTGCTTTGAGCGGGAGTTGAACCAGCGATGTTCGCATCACAGAGTTTCATACTAGGAACTTCTTACAGTCCTCTGCTCTACCAACTGAGCTATGAAGGTGCTTCTAGACTCAACCGCAGAAAACATAGTGGCTGAGACGACACACTTTGCCAACACAACAATTAAAGCTACATGGTCAATGAAAAAGCTTGAAAAGTGCATACACCAATGAAATCTGGCGCTTTGAGCGGGAGTTGAACCAGCGATGTTCGCATAATAGCTTTTTATATGAGGAACTTCTTACAGTCTTCTGCTCTACCAACTGAGCTTTGAAGGTGCTTATTGACACAACCGCAGAAAACATAGTGGCTGAGACGTCACACTTTGCCAACACAACAATTAAAGCTACATGGTCAATGAAAAAGCTTGAAAAGTGCATACACCAATGAAATCTTGTGCTTTGAGCGGGAGTTGAACCAGCGATGTTCGCATCACAGAGTGTCATACTAGGAACTTCTTACAGTCCTCTGCTCTACCAACTGAGCTATAAAGGTGCTTCTAGCCTCAACAGCAGAAAACATAGTGGCTGAGACGATACACTTTGCCAACACAACAATTAAAGCTACATGGTCAATGAAAAAGCTTGAAAAGTGCAAACACCAATTAAATCTGGTGCTTTGAGCGGGAGTTGAACCAGCGATGTTCGCATAATAGCGTTTTATATGAGGACCTTCTTACAGTCTTCTGCTCTACCAACTGAGCTTTGAAGGTGCTTATTGACACAACCGCAGAAAACATAGTGGCTGAGACGTCACACTTTGCCAACACAACAATTAAAGCTACATGGTCAATGAAAAAGCTTGAAAAGTGCATACACCAATGAAATCTGGTGCTTTGAGCAGGAGTTGAACCAGCGATGTTCGCATCACAGAGTTTCATACTAGGAACTTCTTACAGTGCTCTGCTCTAACAACGGAGCTATGAAGGTGCTTGTAGACACAACCGCAGAAAACATAGTGGCTGAGACGACACACTTTGCCAACACAACAATTAAAGCTACATGGTCAATGAAAAAGCTTGAAAAGTGCATACACGAATGAAAACTGGTGCTTTGAGCGGGGGTTGAACCAGCGATATTCATCACAGCGTTTGATATGAGGAACTTCTTACAGTCCTCTGCTCTAACAACGGAGCTATGAAGGTGCGTTCAAGACAAAACCGCAGAAAACATAGTGGCTGAGACGACACACTTTGCCAACACAACAATTAAAGCTACATGGTCAATGAAAAAGCTTGAAAAGTGCATACACCAATGAAATCTGGTGCTTTGAGCGGGAATTGAACCAGTGATGTTCGCATCACAGAGTTTCATACTAGGAACTTCTTACAGTCCTCTGCTCTACCAACTGAGCTATGAAGGTGCTTATAGACTCAACAGCAGAAAACATAGTGGCTGAGACGATACACTTTGCCAACACAACAATTAAAGCTACATGGTCAATGAAAAAGCTTGAAAAGTGCATACACCAATGAAATCTGGTGCTTTGAGCGGGAGTTGAACCAGTGATGTTCGCATCACAGAGTTTCATACTAGGAACTTCTTACAGTCCTCTGCTCTACCAACTGAGCTATGAAGGTGCTTATAGACTCAACAGCAGAAAACATAGTGGCTGAGACGATACACTTTGCCAACACAACAATTAAAGCTACATGGTCAACGAAAAAGCTTGAAAAGTGCATACACCAATGAAATCTGGTGCTTTGAGCGGGAGTTGAACCAGCGATGTTCGCATCACAGAGTTTCATACTAGGAACTTCTTACAGTCCTCTGCTCTAACAACGGAGCTATGAAGGTGCTTGTAGACTCAACCGCAGAAAACATAGTGGCTGATACGATACACTTTGCCAACAAAACAATTAAAGCTACATGGTCAATGAAAAAGCTTGAAAAGTGCAAACACCAATAAAAACTGGTGCTTTGAGCGGGAGTTGAACCAGCGATGTTCGCATCACAGAGTTTCATACTAGGAACTTCTTACAGTCCTCTGCTCTACCAACTGAGCTATGAAGGTGCTTCTAGACTCAACCGCAGAAAACATAGTGGCTGAGACGACACACTTTGCCAACACAACAATTAAAGCTACATGGTCAATGAAAAAGCTTGAAAAGTGCATACACCAATGAAATCTGGTGCTTTGAGCGGGAGTTGAACCAGCGATGTTCGCATAATAGCTTTTTATATGAGGAACTTCTTACAGTCTTCTGCTCTACCAACTGAGCTTTGAAGGTGCTTATTGACACAACCGCAGAAAACATAGTGGCTGAGACGTCACACTTTGCCAACACAACAATTAAAGCTACATGGTCAATGAAAAAGCTTGAAAAGTGCATACACCAATGAAATCTTGTGCTTTGAGCGGGAGTTGAACCAGCGATGTTCACATCACAGAGTGTCATACTAGGAACTTCTTACAGTCCTCTGCTCTACCAACTGAGCTATAAAGGTGCTTCTAGCCTCAACAGCAGAAAACATAGTGGCTGAGACGATACACTTTGCCAACACAACAATTAAAGCTACATGGTCAATGAAATAGCTTGAAAAGTGCAAACACCAATTAAATCTGGTGCTTTGAGCGGGAGTTGAACCAGCGATGTTCGCATAATAGCGTTTTATATGAGGACCTTCTTACAGTCTTCTGCTCTACCAACTGAGCTTTGAAGGTGCTTATTGACACAACCGCAGAAAACATAGTGGCTGAGACGTCACACTTTGCCAACACAACAATTAAAGCTACATGGTCAATGAAAAAAGCTTGAAAAGTGCATACACCAATGAAATCTGGTGCTTTGAGCAGGAGTTGAACCAGCGATGTTCGCATCACAGAGTTTCATACTAGGAACTTCTTACAGTGCTCTGCTCTAACAACGGAGCTATGAAGGTGCTTGTAGACACAACCGCAGAAAACATAGTGGCTGAGACGACACACTTTGCCAACACAACAATTAAAGCTACATGGTCAATGAAAAAGCTTGAAAAGTGCATACACGAATGAAAACTGGTGCTTTGAGCGGGGGTTGAACCAGCGATATTCATCACAGCGTTTGATATGAGGAACTTCTTACAGTCCTCTGCTCTAACAACGGAGCTATGAAGGTGCGTTCAAGACAAAACCGCAGAAAACATAGTGGCTGAGACGACACACTTTGCCAACACAACAATTAAAGCTACATGGTCAATGAAAAAGCTTGAAAAGTGCATACACCAATGAAATCTGGTGCTTTGAGCGGGAATTGAACCAGTGATGTTCGCATCACAGAGTTTCATACTAGGAACTTCTTACAGTCCTCTGCTCTACCAACTGAGCTATGAAGGTGCTTATAGACTCAACAGCAGAAAACATAGTGGCTGAGACGATACACTTTGCCAACACAACAATTAAAGCTACATGGTCAATGAAAAAGCTTGAAAAGTGCATACACCAATGAAATCTGGTGCTTTGAGCGGGAGTTGAACCAGCGATGTTCGCATCACAGAGTTTCATACTAGGAACTTCTTACAGTCCTCTGCTCTAACAACGGAGCTATGAAGGTGCTTGTAGACTCAACCGCAGAAAACATAGTGGCTGATACGATACACTTTGCCAACAAAACAATTAAAGCTACATGGTCAATGAAAAAGCTTGAAAAGTGCAAACACCAATAAAAACTGGTGCTTTGAGCGGGAGTTGAACCAGCGATGTTCGCATCACAGAGTTTCATACTAGGAACTTCTTACAGTCCTCTGCTCTAACAACGGAGCTATGAAGGTGCTTGTAGACTCAACCGCAGAAAACATAGTGGCTGATACGATACACTTTGCCAACACAACAATTAAAGCTACATGGTCAATGAAAAAGCTTGAAAAGTGCATACACCAATGAAATCTGGTGCTTTGAGCGGGAGTTGAACCAGCGATGTTCGCATACTAGCGTTTTATATGAGGAACTTCTTACAGTCTTCTGCTCTACCAACTGAGCTTTGAAGGTGCTTATTGACACAACCGCAGAAAACATAGTGGCTGAGACGTCACACTTTGCCAACACAACAATTAAAGCTACATGGTCAATGAAAAAGCTTGAAAAGTGCATACACCAATGAAATCTTGTGCTTTGAGCGGGAGTTGAACCAGCGATGTTCGCATCACAGAGTGTCATACTAGGAACTTCTTACACTCCTCTGCTCTACCAACTGAGCTATAAAGGTGCTTCTAGCCTCAACAGCAGAAAACATAGTGGCTGAGACGATACACTTTGCCAACACAACAATTAAAGCTACATGGTCAATGAAAAAGCTTGAAAAGTGCAAACACCAATGAAATCTGGTGCTTTGAGCGGGAGTTGAACCAGCGATGTTCCCATAATAGCGTTTTATATGAGGACCTTCTTACAGTCTTCTGCTCTACCAACTGAGCTTTGAAGGTGCTTATTGACACAACCGCAGAAAACATAGTGGCTGAGACGTCACACTTTGCCAACACAACAATTAAAGCTACATGGTCAATGAAAAAAGCTTGAAAAGTGCATACACCAATGAAATCTTGTGCTTTGAGCGGGAGTTGAACCAGAGATGTTCGCATCAAAGAGTTTCATACTAGGAACTTCTTACAGTCCTCTGCTCTAGCAACTGAGCTATAAAGGTGCTTATTGACACAACCGCAGAAAACATAGTGGCTGAGACGACACACTTTGCCAACACAACAATTAAAGCTACATGGTCAATGAAAAAGCTTGAAAAGTGCATACACGAATGAAAACTGGTGCTTTGAGCGGGGGTTGAACCAGCGATATTCATCACAGCGTTTGATATGAGGAACTTCTTACAGTCCTCTGCTCTAACAACGGAGCTATGAAGGTGCGTTCAAGACAAAACCGCAGAAAACATAGTGGCTGAGACGACACACTTTGCCAACACAACAATTAAAGCTACATGGTCAATGAAAAAGCTTGAAAAGTGCATACATCAATGAAATCTGGTGCTTTGAGCGGGAATTGAACCAGTGATGTTCGCATCACAGAGTTTCATACTAGGAACTTCTTACAGTCCTCTGCTCTACCAACTGAGCTATGAAGGTGCTTATAGACTCAACAGCAGAAAACATAGTGGCTGAGACGATACACTTTGCCAACACAACAATTAAAGCTACATGGTCAATGAAAAAGCTTGAAAAGTGCATACACCAATGAAATGTGGTGCTTTGAGCGGGAGTTGAACCAGCGATGTTCGCATCACAGAGTTTCATACTAGGAACTTCTTACAGTCCTCTGCTCTAACAACTGAGCTATGAAGGTGCTTGTAGACTCAACCGCAGAAAACATAGTGGCTGATACGATACACTTTGCCAACAAAACAATTAAAGCTACATGGTCAATGAAAAAGCTTGAAAAGTGCAAACACCAATAAAAACTGGTGCTTTGAGCAGGAGTTGAACCAGCGATGTTCGCATCACAGAGTTTCATACTAGGAACTTCTTACAGTCCTCTGCTCTACCAACTGAGCTATGAAGGTGCTTCTAGACTCAACCGCAGAAAACATAGCGGCTGAGACGACACACTTTGCCAACACAACAATTAAAGCTACATGGTCAATGAAAAAGCTTGAAAAGTGCATACACCAATGAAATCTGGTGCTTTGAGCGGGAGTTGAACCAGCGATGTTCGCATAATAGCGTTTTATATGAGGAACTTCTTACAGTCTTCTGCTCTACCAACTGAGCTTTGAAGGTGCTTATTGACACAACCGCAGAAAACATAGTGGCTGAGACGTCACACTTTGCCAACACAACAATTAAAGCTACATGGTCAATGAAAAAGCTTGAAAAGTGCATACACCAATGAAATCTTGTGCTTTGAGCGGGAGTTGAACCAGCGATGTTCGCATCACAGAGTGTCATACTAGGAACTTCTTACACTCCTCTGCTCTACCAACTGAGCTATAAAGGTGCTTCTAGCCTCAACAGCAGAAAACATAGTGGCTGAGATGATACACTTTGCCAACACAACAATTAAAGCTACATGGTCAATGAAAAAGCTTGAAAAGTGCAAACACCAATGAAATCTGGTGCTTTGAGCGGGAGTTGAACCAGCGATGTTCGCATAATAGCGTTTTATATGAGGACCTTCTTACAGTCTTCTGCTCTACCAACTGAGCTTTGAAGGTGCTTATTGACACAACCGCAGAAAACATAGTGGCTGAGACGTCACACTTTGCCAACACAACAATTAAAGCTACATGGTCAATGAAAAAGCTTGAAAAGTGCATACACCAATGAAATCTTGTGCTTTGAGCGGGAGTTGAACCAGAGATGTTCGCATCAAAGAGTTTCATACTAGGAACTTCTTACAGTCCTCTGCTCTAGCAACTGAGCTATAAAGGTGCTTATTGACACAACCGCAGAAAACATAGTGGCTGAGACGACACACTTTGCCAACACAACAATTAAAGCTACATGGTCAATGAAAAAGCTTGAAAAGTGCATACACGAATGAAAACTGGTGCTTTGAGCGGGGGTTGAACCAGCGATATTCATCACAGCGTTTGATATGAGGAACTTCTTACAGTCCTCTGCTCTAACAACTGAGCTATGAAGGTGCATTCAAGACAAAACCGCAGAAAACATAGTGGCTGAGACGACACACTTTGCCAACACAACAATTAAAGCTAGATGGTCAATGAAAAGGCTTGAAAAGTGCATACACCAATGAAATCTTGTGCTTTGAGCAGGAGTTGAACCAGCGATGTTCGCATCACAGAGTGTCATACTAGGAACTTCTTACAGTCCTCTGCTCTACCAACTGAGCTATGAAGGTGCTTATAGACTCAACAGCAGAAAACATAGTGGCTGAGACGATACACTTTGCCAACACAACAATTAAAGCTACATGGTCAATGAAAAAGCTTGAAAAGTGCATACACCAATGATATCTGGTGCTTTGAGCGGGAGTTGAACCAGCGATGTTCGCATAATAGCGTTTTATATGAGGACCTTCTTACAGTCTTCTGCTCTACCAACTGAGCTTTGAAGGTGCTTATTGACACAACCGCAGAAAACATAGTGGCTGAGACGACACACTTTGCCAACACAACAATTAAAGCTACATGGTCAATGAAAAAGCTTGAAAAGTGCATACATCAATGATATCTGGTGCTTTGAGCGGGAATTGAACGAGTGATGTTCGCATCACAGAGTTTCATACTAGGAACTTCTTACAGTCCTCTGCTCTACCAACTGAGCTATGAAGGTGCTTATAGACTCAACAGCAGAAAACATAGTGGCTGAGACGATACACTTTGCCAACACAACAATTAAAGCTACATGGTCAATGAAAAAGCTTGAAAAGTGCATACACCAATGAAATCTGGTGCTTTGAGCGGGAGTTGAACCAGCGATGTTCGCATCACAGAGTTTCATACTAGGAACTTCTTACAGTCCTCTGCTCTAACAACGGAGCTATGAAGGTGCTTGTAGACTCAACCGCAGAAAACATAGTGGCTGATACGATACACTTTGCCAACAAAACAATTAAAGCTACATGGTCAATGAAAAAGCTTGAAAAGTGCAAACACCAATAAAAACTGGTGCTTTGAGCGGGAGTTGAACCAGCGATGTTCGCATCACAGAGTTTCATACTAGGAACTTCTTACAGTCCTCTGCTCTACCAACTGAGCTATGAAGGTGCTTCTAGACTCAACCGCAGAAAACATAGTGGCTGAGACGACACACTTTGCCAACACAACAATTAAAGCTACATGGTCAATGAAAAAGCTTGAAAAGTGCATACACCAATGAAATCTGGTGCTTTGAGCGGGAGTTGAACCAGCGATGTTCGCATACTAGCGTTTTATATGAGGAACTTCTTACAGTCTTCTGCTCTACCAACTGAGCTTTGAAGGTGCTTATTGACACAACTGCAGAAAACATAGTGGCTGAGACGTCACACTTTGCCAACACAACAATTAAAGCTACATGGTCAATGAAAAAGCTTGAAAAGTGCATACACCAATGAAATCTTGTGCTTTGAGCGGGAGTTGAACCAGCGATGTTCGCATCACAGAGTGTCATACTAGGAACTTCTTACACTCCTCTGCTCTACCAACTGAGCTATAAAGGTGCTTATTGACACAACCGCAGAAAACATAGTGGCTGAGACGACACACTTTGCCAACACAACAATTAAAGCTACATGGTCAATGAAAAAGCTTGAAAAGTGCATACACGAATGAAAACTGGTGCTTTGAGCGGGGGTTGAACCAGCGATATTCATCACAGCGTTTGATATGAGGAACTTCTTACAGTCCTCTGCTCTAACAACTGAGCTATGAAGGTGCATTCAAGACAAAACCGCAGAAAACATAGTGGCTGAGACGACACACTTTGCCAACACAACAATTAAAGCTAGATGGTCAATGAAAAGGCTTGAAACGTGCATACACCAATGAAATCTTGTGCTTTGAGCAGGAGTTGAACCAGCGATGTTCGCATCACAGAGTGTCATACTAGGAACTTCTTACAGTCCTCTGCTCTACCAACTGAGCTATGAAGGTGCTTATAGACTCAACAGCAGAAAACATAGTGGCTGAGACGATACACTTTGCCAACACAACAATTAAAGCTACAGGGTCAATGAAAAAGCTTGAAAAGGGCATACACCAATGATATCTGGTGCTTTGAGCGGGAGTTGAACCAGCGATGTTCGCATCACAGAGTTTCATACTAGGAACTTCTTACAGTCCTCTGCTCTACCAACTGAGCTATGAAGGTGCTTATAGACACAAACGCAAAAAAAAATTGTGGCTTCGGCGACACACTTTGCCAACAATACAATTGGACCCACATGGTCAATGAAAAAGGTTCAAGAGTGCTTACAGCAATGAAATGTGGTGTTTGGAGCTGGAGTTGAACCAGCGACCTTTGGACCACAGCGTTTCAGGAACTTCTGACAGTCCTCTGCTCTACCAATTGAGCTATGAAGGTGCTTATACACACAAACGCAGAAAACATAGTGGCTTCGGTGACACACTTTGCCAACAATACAATTGGACCCACATGGTCAATGAAAAAGGTTGAAGAGTGCATACAGCAATGAAATGTGGTGTTTGGAGCTGGAGTTGAACCAGCGACCTTTGGACCACAGCGTTTCAGGAACTTCTTACAGTCCTCTGCTCTACCAACTGAGCTATGAAGGTGCTTATATATACAAACGCAGAAAACATAGTGGCTTCGGCGACACACTTTGCCAACAATACAATTGGACCCACATGGTCAATGAAAAAGGTTGAACAGTGCATACAGCAATGAAATGTGGTGTTTGGAGCTGGAGTTGAAACAGCGACCTTTGGACCTCAGGGTTTCAGGAACTTCTTAAAGTCCTCTGTTCTAGCAACTGAGCTATGAAGGTGCTTATAGACACAAACGCAGAAAACATAGTGGCTTCGGCGACACACTTTGCCAACATAACAATCAAGCTACCTTGTCAATGAAAAAGGTTGAACAGTGCATACAGCAATGAAATCTGGTGTACGGAAGTGGAGTTGAACCAGCGACCTTTTGACCACAGCGTTTCAGGAACTTCTTACAGTCATCTGCTCTACCAACTGAGCTATGAAGGTGCTTATATATACAAATGCAGAAAACATAGTGGCTTCGGCGACACACTTTGCCAACAATACAATTGGACCCACATGGTCAATGAAAAAGGTTGAAGAGTGCATACAGCAATGAGATCTAGTGTTAGGAGCTGGAGTTGAACCAGCGCCCTTTGGACCACAGCATTTCAGAAACTTCTTACAGTCCTCTGCTCTACCAACTGAGCTATGAAGGTGCTTATATATACAAACGCAGAAAACATAGTGGCTTCGGCGACACACTTTGCCAACATAACAATCAAGCTACCTTGTCAATGAAAAAGGTTGAACAGTGCATAAAGCAATGAAATCTGGTGTTTGGAGCTGGAGTTGAACCAGCGACCTTTGGACCACAGTGTTTCAGGAACTTCTTACAGTCATCTGCTCTCCCAACTGCGCTATGAAGGTGCTTATAGACACAAACGCAGAAAACATAGTGGCTTCGGCGACACACTTTGCCAACAATACAATTGGACCCACATGGTTAATGAAAAACGTTGAACAGTGCATACAGCAATGAAATGTGGTGTTTGGAGCTGGAGTTGAACCAGCGACCTTTGGACCACAGCGTTTCAGGAACTTCTTACAGTCCTCTGCTCTACCAACTGAGCTATGAATGTGCTTATATATACAAACGCAGAAAACATAGTGGCTTCGGCGACACACTTTGCCAACAATACAATTGGACCCACATGGTCAATGAAAAAGGTTGAACAGTGCATACACCAATGAAAACTGGTGCTTTGAGCGGGAGTTGAAGCAGCGACCTTTGGACCACAGAGTTTCATACTAGGAACTTCTTACAGTCCTCTGCTCTACCAACTGAGCTATGAAGGTGCTTATAGACACAAACGCAGAAAACATAGTGGCTTCGGCGACACACTTTGCCAACAATACAATTGGACCCACATGGTCAATGAAAAAGGTTGAACAGTGCATACAGCAATGAAATGTGGTGTTTGGAGCTGGAGTTGAACCAGCGACCTTTGGACCACAGCGTTTCAGGAACTTCTTACAGTCCTCTGCTCTACCAACTGAGCTATGAAGGTGCTTATAGACACAAACGCAGAAAACATAGTGGCTTCGGCGACACACTTTGCCAACATAACAATCAAGCTACCTTGTTAATGAAAAAGGTTTAACAGTGCATACAGCAATGAAATCTGGTGTTTGGAAGTGGAGTTGAACCAGCGACCTTTTGACCACAGCGTTTCAGGAACTTCTTACAGTCCTCTGCTCTAACAACTGAGCTATGAAGGTGCTTATAAACACAAACGCAGAAAACATAGTGGATTCGGCGACACACTTTGCCAACAATACAATTGGACCCACATGGTCAATGAAAAAGGTTGAAGAGTGCATACA